AGTTGTTTTTGGATAATCTTCAGTAGAATCTTGCTTGCATGTGAAATTAATGATATTGTTCTATAGTTTCCACACTCTGTTGGGTCACCCTTCTTCGGAATGGGAACAAATATAGATCTCTTCCAGTCAGTTGACCAAGTGGTTGTTCTCCAGATTTCTCGGCACAGCTTGGTGAACACGTCCAGGGCAGCATCTGTTAGCTCAAATACGTCAATTGGTATGCCATCTATTCCTGAGGCCTTATTCTTTGCTATTTCCTTCAAAGCAGCTTGAACTTCATCATGATAGGCTTTTGCTCATATGTTGTTTCATGAAATTCTTCTGTGTCTGCCAATTCCTTTTGATACAATGACTCAGTATATTCAATCTGTATACAGAAAAAAAAATCATCCCAAAAGCTGGACTATATAAAGAAGAATATTGCATCAATATTGGAGGAAGACTCATCAACAACCTGTATTATGCAGGTTACACAACCTTGGAAGCTGAAAATAAAGAGGATTTGAAGCACTTGCTGCAGATCAAATCTGTCTTTCAGTGGATTATATCTCAACATCAAGAAAACAAAAATCCCTCCAGTGGACAAAAAGGCAACATTTTGATAGATCAGAGTTATTAATGATTTTATTTTCCTTGGATTCACAATCAACACCTATGGTAACAGCAGTCAAGAAATTTTTTAAAAAGAGGTTTTATTGGGGAAATTTGCTGTCAGAGACCTCTCCAGAATTCTAAAAAGTGAGGATGTCAACTCAAAGACTAAGGTGTACCTGATCCAAACCATGGTCTTATTTTATTATTTTGTGCGTGTACTGTCAAATCGCCACCACCTAACAACAACAATGCACACATACATGTAGAAGCATGCTCTCTCTCTCTCTGTGTAGATGTGGCAAGAAGCTGAGCTGCAATCCCGAAGGCATGTGGTTCAAGGCCACCAGCTCCTCCGCAGGAGAAGGATGGGCAGTCTCCTCCTGTGCGATCAACTGCCTCTGAAAACCTGCTAGAGGATTGATTCTGAACATATCTACCTCCCAAGCGTGAAGGACTCTCCTTCATAGGGTCTCTATGAGTCATCTGCGACTCGATGGCGCTTAACAACAACAACAATATGTGTGTGTGTTTGTATCTGTGTATGTACACATATCCTTTCTGTACACGTATATAGACTATGTGTAAATGAATATTAGACAGTATATGTGTTCAAATCCACCAGCTGCTCTGCAGGAGAAAGGTGGATGATCTCCTGTGTGATTTACAGCCTCTGAAAACCCACTGGAGCTATGAGAGGGTTCTGACTCAATAGCACGTAACGTGTGTGCATGTATGTGCTTCTCTCTGTATGTTTGTGTGTGTGTTGTGTGCCGTCGAGTTGGAACTGTCCTATAGCTGACCCTCCAGACGGTTTTTAGAGGCTGTAAATCGCACAGGAAAAAATAAATCTCCCTGTGTGTACATATATGGTTGTGTCTGTCTGTCTATCTTTCTATCTGTCTGTCTACCTATCTATCTATCTTCTCAGTGTAGGTGAATGTGTAATCTCCCTGTATGTGTACATGCATATATAGACAATCTCTCTGTAAATGTACCTGCGTCCATATGTCTGTGTATGCACATATAGTCTCTCTGTACATGCAGATTCTCCCTGTGTGTGCTCGTGTGTGTAGATTTAAAACCTTCCTGTACACATATATGTGATGTGTTTGTCTCTGTATGTACATGTGTCTGTGTGTGTAACCTCTCTGTCTAACTGAGGGCAGGAAGGAGGCCCCCCGAGGCCATGAAGTGGGGTTACCAGGTGACTTGTGACTGAGTGCAGAGCATGGCGTCGGTCAGCCTGGCCAGGACCTGCTCTGTGGGCACTAGGCAGAGAGCTGAGTCTAAAGGGGCGGGAGTGGGATGAGGCAAGGGTGCTGGGGGTGTTTGCGAAGGACACTCGTGGAGTGGTGAGTGCTGGGCAAGACCGGACAGGCTAAGAGTGAGCGCAGGCAGCAGCCAGAGACGTGGGTGGACAGGAAGGGAGGCCGAGGTGTTCCGGGACGACCCCTAGCACGTCCTGGCCTCACTGCTCGGACTCTGCCGACAGCCAGCAGGTGGACTGTTCATGTTCATGGTGTACACTCAGGGAGAAAGGCCTGGCCATCGACTTTGGTCAGCTGATGACCACAAAAACCCTATGCTGCGGTTCTCCTGTGGGTCGACATGAGTCAGAACCACTTGCACGGCAGTGGGCTGGGCTTTTAGAGCCCTTTGCTGGGACAGGGCAGCAGGGGACTGAGGAGGACCAGCCCAGCCCCAGGGTCCCTGCCTCTCCTGCCTGGTGCGCAGGCCCGCCCCAGCCCCACCTTGCTTGGCATGGTGACTGCCCTGCAGGGGCCCAGTTGTTCTTGCAAACTCTCATCTGACAGTGTTGTCAGCGGGACGGAACAGGTCACGCTGTCCAGGCTGCCAACCAGCAGGCGGCCCCCGAGAGCCAGGGCCTCCTGAGGTCCCCGCCCACCCTGCTGCCGCCAGTCTGTCCCCGGGACTCCAGGGAGCCGCTCTCCAGAGATGCCACTGCACTGGGGGGTACGCCCCCGTCTCTTCAAGCCTGGCCTGGGGGTCCTTCTCCCCGCCACCTTCCTTCTCCTGGGCCGCTGTGGACTCTGTAGTGTCCAGCAGGTGGGTGTGTGCAGGATGGGTGAGTCCAGGGCTGGGGCACCCAATGCTGGGGTCTGAGGGTGGGCCACCCCGGGGTGTCCGCCATCGTTTGGGAATGTAGATGTGTCCTCCCAGCTGACCTCAGCAGCTTTGGTGTAGCAAGGGGCAGCAGGCTCCCTGAAAGAACAGCTTGTACATGACTCTCCAAGCACCAGACCCGACCCAGATCCACTGGTGCTGTGTCTGTCCCCGCTCCCCGACCCTAAGCAGAGCGGCCCCCTGGGTACCACAGGAGGAGCGGCCGGGGCTTGAACTACTGACCTTTTAGCTTATTCTTTGGGGACTGGCTCCGGAGGCAGACGCGTTTGTCCTAAGCCTGTGAGTGCCTTCGTGGAGACCACTGCCGTCCCTTGTCCCTGTGTCCCTCTGCCCCCTCATTTGTTCTTGCTGTCTTGCAGAGCTGCCTCCAGTCTCTGGAGCCCCAGCAGCCTTCAGCCGAGCACAGTGACAGTGACCCAAGGCTGAAAGGTACTTTTCTGATGCCTTCTTACCGAGGGGGTTCCCTGGCCTGGGGCTCATGGAGAGCTGAACCTGAGGTCCTGGGTGTGTCCTGGGCCAGTCCCTTGTTAACTAGCTGGCTACTTCCTGCCATCAGCCATCAGCCTGCTGACCCAGCTGGGTCCTGCACAGCCCAAGGCCCAGAGCAGTGCTAATTACTGGCTGCTCCCCTGCCCTTGGGGCTAGTTTTCAGGGACCCCAGGACCAGTCCTGCATGAATGTAAATATTTACTCCTCTGGGAGAAGTCAGATTAGAGCTGTCCCAGCCCCAGGCTCTGACTTCCTGTGGTAAAGGCCCTGTCCTGTGTGCTTGTGGGGCCCTGGCTCCTTTCCAGAGATGGGCTGAAGGTGGGGGGTGGACACAGTTGAGGTGGAGACAGTGTGACCAGGTTCTCTGTGGTCTGGGAGCCAGCCAGCCACGTGAGCGGGCATGGGGTGGGAAACTGTGATCCCAGGCAGGGCCCCTCGTGCAGGCCGTGGGAAAGAGGGATGGTGCAGGCCAGGCCTCGGCCAGCGGCCCTGTGCATGGACCAAGGGTGCCCCAGAAGTCACTCTGATGCTGGACGGTACAAGTGTCCAGCGCAGAAGGCTAGTTTGTGACAAAGGTCAGGGAGGAGAGACTGTCACTCTCCATAGTAAGAACCACAAACCCCCTCCATTGTCCCTGAGATCCAATGGGCCGGCGTCCACCCCGGGAGCTGGGCAGGTGGACAAGACCCAGGCCCAGTATGACCACTGCAAACAAGACCTGCTCCATGGACAGGAGGCCTGGGCTGCTGGGGAGTCAAGCAGTCCCTCCTCCTGTGACCCTTGAGTTGGCCCCTCCCAAGCTCATCTTGCAGGACGAGAACAGGCCAAGGGTGAAGGCACCCTGTTGGACCCAGCGCTGCTCCCGGGGTACCTGACCAACACTTCACTTTCACCTTCACCTTCGGCCTGACCTGACCAGAGGGCTTGTACTGACCACTCCCTCCAGTCGCCCCCTGGGGACTGGGCGTGGCTCGATGGCCAGGGTCACATCAGCGTGCGTGGTGGGATGTAGCTAAGGCTTGTGGGGGGTACAGTCGTGTAATGTTTTCTAGTCCCTCCCACTCCCCACTGCACTTGGTGACTGCTGTGAGGTGTGTCCCAGGGAAGGATGGTGGACTGGGGGAGGCCAGGGGTTTCAGGGTGACACGGTGACACCTGGCAGCCCAGCTGGCCCGGGCTGTGGGAAGGGGCAGTAAGGCTCTGACTTGACAGTGAGGGCCCAGAGACAGGGCAGTGTCCCAGGGATGAGTGTCCAGATGGACACAGGGATCACAGCACCATCACGGGTGCCCAGGGACTGAAGACCACCGTCCTGGGGGATGAAGGCCGAGACGGGGGTCTCTGCAGGGCTGCTCGCTCTCTGGAGGCTGTGGGCAGGTACAGTGTGCGTTCTCCCCTTTTCCTCAGTGTCTGGGGCTGCCTCACCCCATCTCAGTCTCATCATCATGGACTCCATGTCTCTCTTACGGCACCCTGTCCTATTCGATCTGTGCCCCCTCCACCAGCACAGCCTCAGGCTAACTTCTCTGAGACCCTCCTTCCACACAAGGTCACGTTAGGGGACTGGGCCCGTAGGTCATGCCAGCATCTAGAGTTAGAGGTCTCACACTCTCTGTTCCCCAAGAAAGAGGAGGGTCCGGCACTGGACCCTCCAAGTCCTATCAGGGCAAGGCAGAGGTTGCCACCTGCCCGAGCACCATCAGGCCAGGAGCACAGATGAGGGGGGCAGCCTCAGGCGGGTGCTAGGCCCCCAGGACTGTGCCCCCCTTCGCCTCAGGCCAGCCCTGCTCCCCCGGTTTCCCGAGACGGAACAGGACAGCGGGCAGCGTGCTGCACTTGGAACTGCTGGTGGTCGTAGGTCCCGATGTGCACGAGGCCCACCAGGGGGACACAGAGCGCTACGTGCTCACCAACATCAACATAGTGAGTGGCTGGGGGGCCCCAAAGGGAGGGACTCAGGGTCCCCAGAGCAGGGTCTGAGGGACCATACCTGCAACCCCACCTGGGCTCAGAGGCGACACTGAGGCCACTGACTGTGGGGGGTGGTAGTGGGTGTGATGTGGGCTCAGGACCCCAGAGGGAGAAATGGGGTCTGCTCTCCCTCCCCTTGCCTGGGGTGGAGGTGAGTGAGGTGGGACCCCACAACTTCATGCTGAGAGGGTCACCCTCTGCGTTGCCCTGGTGGTTACCTCCATCTGTCCTGTCTCAGGGGTCAGAGCTGCTGCGGGACCCGTCCCTCGGGGCTCAGATCCGGGTGCACCTGGTGAAGCTGGTGGTCCTCTCAGAGGCACAGGTAGGCTCCCGCTGGATTCTGGCACCCCATGTCCATCCCCCAAAAGTGGTATCCTTTCTCTGACATCTTCCTGTGGACGCTGTGGGGGCGTGACTACCAGCAGGCGTCTGTGCACCTCAGAGGAGCTTTGCCTTGGGAGCTGGCTCACATGATGGGGGCCACATGTCCCTGGTCTGTGGTCCTCGGATGAACCGGGCTCACATCCCCTGCCTCCATGACAGAAGTCACTGATGCCACACACTTGAGCCCTGTGTTCTAGTGCAGAGCGTGTCAGGCTGCTAACCAGAGGTCAGCAGTTCGACTCCACCAGCCACTCTGCAGGAGAGAGTTGGACAGTCTCTTCCTGTGAAGATTACAGCCTCGGACCCCTGAAGGAGGGGCCCCAGGAGCTGGAACCAACCCCACAGCAGTTGGCTGGAGTGTAGAGTTTGGCCAAGCCACTAGGCTCTAAGGCCTGCCAGTTGACCTCGGTCATCTCCTCTGTAGCACGGGATGGGAACAAACTTGCATGAACTAGCCCTGAGATTCTAAAGCAGGGCTCTGTCACTCCCAGGATGCTCCAAACATCACAGCCAACATCACCGAGTCACTGCTGAGCGTCTGTGACTGGAGCCGGGGCTTCAGCCCCACAGATGACACGGATCCCGGGCGTGCGGACCTGGTCCTGTACATCACCAGGTAGCTAGCTGAGCTCCCGCGGTGGCCAGCGGCAGGAAGGCCACTCGGCCACCTGGTCTCCTCTCTCCCCCAGGTTCGACCTGGAACTGCCGGATGGCAGCCGGCAGGTTCGGGGTGTTACCCAGCTTGGGGGCATCTGCTCCTTGTCGTGGGGCTGCCTCCTCACTGAGGACACTGGCTTTGACCTGGGAGTCACCATCGCCCATGAGATCGGGCACAGGTACCAGGCCCACGCCCTGTCCCCAAGCTTTGGCCAAGGAGCAGACCAGGCCCCAGGGAGATGAGGTCATGGCACCCATGGACCTGGCGGAACCTGCTGGAAGGAGTCTGTGGAATAGGAAGGGTAGGGTGAAGGCAGGTAGGAAGGGTAGGGATAAGGAGGGGGAAATGGGTATTTCTTGATTCTAGAACGCTGCAAAGAAGCTAGATTTTAGCAAGAAGGGGAGGGGGCCATCCCAAAACAAAGCAAAACCCAATTTCCCAGTTAGAAGTGAGTTTTTCAGAAGAGTCAGAGGAAGAGATCACAAGCTGTAGAAATGACCCCAAATCGCACCACTCAGAAAACAATGTCAGTCTTCACAGTGTCAACCCTCCTGCTGGGGAGTCTGTTCAGACTCCCGGGGACCCAGCAGGACCACAGAGCTGTGGAGGCTGCTGTCCTTACAGTTCTGAGGACACAGATTTCTCCCAGAGCGACTGGTGGGTTCAAACCTTCTGTGTAGATTTCACCCCACACACAATTTATTCTTTTCATATTTGGGATTATGTTGCATATCACTTTGTTACTTGCTGTTAATGCAACAATGTGTCCCAACCCTTAAACATTTTCTGTATGTGTCATATTCAGTCCCCTGCTGTGGGGCATTTAAGGAACCTTGTGGTGGTGGGCATCCTCTCTTGTGCTAATTTAGAGGTCAGTGGTTCGAATCCACCAGCTTCAGTGTGCGCCTTTCAGCATTTACAGCCTTGGAAGCTCACTGCACAGCAGTGGATTTGAACTCAGCTATAGAAAGAGAACCCCCTCACTCGCTTCCAGGGTAGGAAACTGAGGCAGGGCTGCTGTAGGCTGGCTCATAGGGTCCACTCTGGAAAGGCACATGGTGGGCGCAGAGCAGCCTGGACAGCAGCCAGCCTAGCTCCTATTGTCTGTCCACAGTCTCGGCCTGGAACACGATGGCGTGGGGGACAGCGGCTGTGGGCCCAGCGGCCACGTGATGGCGGCTGATGGCGCCCCGATGGCTCGTGAGGGTCCCGCCTGGTCCCCCTGCAGCCGGAGACAGCTGCAGCATCTGCTGAGGTAACGGCCAGGGTCTTGGAGCACCATCCCACCCATCTGCGCCCCCAGCTTCTAACTGCTGGTCTCCACCCAGCCCCTGGTGGGAGCATGGAGGGGGCGCAGCCGGGCACTGCCACCCTGTTTCCTCCTGTCCCCGGCGCCCTCCCCTCCATCCGCCCCATCCCACTCGTGAACCTCTTCACCTGCCCCAGCACACCTCCTCACTCCTCTGCATTCCTGATACTCTTGCATGCCTGCACCTTCCTCATCCAGCCCACCCCCACATTCCTTTCCTCATCTGAGTCCTGACTCTGCACGTGCCCTTCAATCCCCTCTGTGCACGCGGACTCCACATCCCTGCGGAACCACTCCACTTCCGGAAGTCGTGAAGGTTTCCGTCTGCAGCGAGTTACCCTTCTGAGCTCGCCTGCCACATCCTCCGTCCCCCACACGCGACATCTGCCCTGGTGTCCATCTCCTCTGATGCGCCGTCCACCCGCATCCCAGCCCCTCTTCTCTCCTGATCCCACCAACCGGGGACCTGAGTCAGGACCATGTCCCCACAGTGCAGGAGGGGCACGTTGCCTGTGGGACCCGCCGCAGCCTCAGCTGGAGCCCCCTGGACACCCAGTGGACGCACAACCCGGCCTCTACTATGACACAGATGAGCAGTGTCGTGTGGCCTTTGGCCGCTCTGCGGTTGCCTGCACCTTCGCCAGGGGCCACCTAGTGAGTGCTTAGCGGGAGCAGTGGACCCTCCATCACCATTTCCTGCAAAGTGAGACACAGCGGCTCCAGAGAGGCCGCACTTCCTGCTTGGGTGGGAGCGGCTGTGCACCTGAGGCTGAGGTGGTGGCTGCCTGGAGGAGGCGGCTTCCAAGCGAGACCTCCTGTTGGAGCGTGTGCTGGCCGGGCCAGGGGAGGTGGAGGGCGTCCAAGGCAGGCTTTGTCCGAGGGCTGCACGTGGCTCTCCTGGACTCAGGCGTGTTGCCTTGCTGGGCCCCTGCCACCATATAAGATCCCCACATTTCTGTGCTCATTGAGGTGCGTTGAGATTCTGTGGTAGAACATTTCCATAGAACCGTGAGCACACGCGCCTCAGACACTGTCGTGCTTGGAGGTGACACTGCTTCTCCACCCCAGTGCCCGTGGAGCCGTGTGTGACTCTGGGGTCTCCTGGTCTGAGAGGGACAGGCAGCGCTGTGTTGGACAGGGCACTCAGGCAGCACCCGTGTCCCCCTAGGACGTGTGCCAGGCTCTCTCCTGCCACACAGACCCCCTGGATCACAGCAGCTGTAGCCGCCTTCTCATCCCACTCCTGGACGGGACCGAATGTGGTAAAGACAAGGTGAGGGGCTGGGAGGGGACACGTATGTACATGTGCATGTGCTGTGTTTGGGAGTTGCTATAGTGTGTGTGTGCTGGGGGGGTGGGGGTGGGAGGTGTAGAGGGGACAGCGAGGTGATGGGGCAGTGGGGGGTGAGGAGGTGAGAGTAGTGGGGGTGTGGAGGTGGGGGCAGTGAGTGCAGAGTGGGAGCTGTGGGGGTGCAGAGCTGGCTGCCAGTCTTGTGGAGTTGGGGTGCTGCAGTGTGCTGGGATGTGGGGACTCTGGGTGCAGAACTGACCACCTTGCCTTGCAGTGGTGCTTCCAGGGGCACTGTCGCTCCCTGGCGGAGCTGTCCCCTGTGCCTGCAGTACATGGGCACTGGTCCAGCTGGGGGCCCCCCAGTCCTTGCTCCCGCTCCTGTGGGGGAGGTGTAGTTACCAGGAGACGGCACTGCAACAACCCCAGGTACTGGTGGACAGGTGCAGAGGGTATGGCCCCAGGCACCTAGGTTTGGTCACACCTTCACCCCTCCTGGGCATTTTCAGGCCTGCATTCGGGGGGCGTACGTGCCCAGGAGCTGACCTGCAGGCCGAGCTGTGCAATGCCCAGGTAAGTGGGCATCCAGGTGAGTGGGAGGCCGGGCCCCGCAGGGTTGACCCCTGTGAGGCTGTGAGTGCTGGGTGACACCTGGCGCTTGGGCGAGTGGAGAGGACACTCCTGATTGTGATCATGGGACCAGATGACCAGCAGCCCCTGACGAACCCCATTTCCCCGCCCCCCGCATGCTGCTGTGCAGTGACGTGTCCGAGAATCTGTGTTCTGCCGGGAAGCTGCTAGCCCACCCCAGTCTGTGCAGCCCCCCAACACCCTGTTGTAAGAGTGCCTTATCTGGACTTCACATCAGTCCCCCACTGTCTCAGTAATCTCCAGCTGTTCTGACAGAAATCCACAAGGGTGTGGTGTCACCAACATAAATGAATTTCCCCCAGTGAGGAGCCTGGAAGTCTGGGCTCAGGGCACCCGTAGGAGAAGGCTCTCCTCTCTCTGGTGGCCCCCCACAGGCCTGGGTCCCCTCTTCCCTGGCCCCCAGTAACCTTCACAGGACTTTTCTTTTGGTCTCTTGTTGGCCTGACCTTTTCCATCTCAGAACAGACAACCTCAGGGCCTGTCCGCACTGGTGCTGCTCTGTAACGGGCCCTGCTAAGTGGCCTTGGAAAGGACAGCGGGCACAGGCCCACTTGGTCTTATCGCTGTATTGCGTCTCGCAGAAATTGTGTCCTTTAGACGTGGAAGGTCTGACAGTCCTGACGCAGCAGGTCTGTGGACACCGTTTCCCCAACAAAATGTGTTCGCATCCTGTCTCTGTGTCTCTTTGGGTCGTTCTCACAATATTCCAGTTTTCCATCAGGCTGTTGACATGTGATCAACTGCAGAGCCACACCCACTGCCCTCGGTGCCTACTGCCCTCAGTGCCCTCTGCCCTCCATGCCCACTGCTCTCACTGCCCACTGCCCTCAGTGCCCACTCCTATGTCTCTCCATCCAGTTTACAGCTTGTAAATCTTTATCCATCTTTCTCCTGAGAAGTGCTTGGTGAATTCGAACTGCCGATGTTTTGATTTTGGCAACCAGTTTTGTGCTGTGACACCAAAGTCACTGCTGTGGGATCAGTTCCCACCCAGGGAGGGGCCCTTCATCTGATGGGGTGAGCACCTGGTGAATTTGAACTGCCAACCTCATGGCTGCCTGACACGTTGTGTGCTGTGCCACCCCGAGCTAGCAGGGCTCCTGAAACCGACTGTGCTGTTGTTGGTATGTGCCGGGGGGTTGCAACCGGCTATAGAGCTGGCCGCCCAGGGGGTTTCAGAGGCGGTAAATCACGTGGAGGAGAGTGTTCCTCTTCCGGGAGGAAGAGCAGCTGGTGAACTTGAACCATCGTGACTTTGGGTTGCAGCATAAATCCTTACCACTGGGTCACTATGACTCCTTTACACAATGTGTCGTTCAAGCATGACTCCTAGTGACCCTATGAACCACAGACCTGAACCCTGGCCTGGCCTGTGCCGTCCTTACAATCTCTGACACGCTTGAGCCCATTGCTGCGGTCACTGTCCCGCCATCTCATCAGGGGCCTCTTCCTCTCCTTCACCAACCCTCCATCTTTCCAAGCATGGTGGCCCTCTCCAAGGAATAATCTCTCCCAACAACGTGCCCAGAGTGAGAGCTCTGATGGCCTAGTGGTGAGAAGCTGCACTGCAGTCCCAAAGGCATGTTGTTCGAGTGTACCAGCTGCCCCACAGAAGGATGGGGACTCTCCGGATACACTGTTTCTGAAAACCCGCTAGAGAGTCAGCTAGGAGTGGGCTCGACTCAGTGGCGCACACCAACACACAGCAACGGGACAGAATCAAGTGTGTTTTCCACAACAGAAGTCACCTTCTGAGTTGGTGTCCCCCGACGCCCTCTTGTCCCCTACTCTTCTCCGCCGTAGATCACAGGGAAGGGTCACCAGAACGGTTTTCTGCGTTGGGGAATGAAGACGCTCTGGTGCCTCGCTGTATCTCAGTGGTCTGGAACAGGATCCTCAATGCCCTCATGTGTCTGCATAGATGCTAGAGTTCACACACACACTGGAGGGTCGCGTCCACCGGGGGCAGCTCACTAGAAAGGCCTGGCCATCGACTTCTGCAAACTCAGCCATCAGAACCGTGTGGAGCAGAGATGCTGGATGCACGCGGGCCACCCCGTGTGGGCTTGACCAGCAGCTGGTTGCAGGTGCACGCCACATGGTGGGGCCTCTGGGTCCGGGCTGGCCTTGCCCTCCTCGCTTCCTGGCTTGGTGTTGGGCCCACACTATGACACAATTTCTCCCTCCACTGTTCCCTCTGCGTAGCAGGCAGGTGCTGTGGTCACCGTCATAGGGAGGGGCCTGCGCCTCAGCCAGAGGGGCCCAGTCTCTCTGAGCATCATGCTATATGAGTGCTGTGCAAGGGGTCACCAGGGCCTCCATCCCCCAGGACCCCCATACCTACTGGTCATCCCCCTAGGATCCCCTAATCTCATCCTCCATCCCCCCAGAACCCCCTGTTCCTGCCTTCTGTCTCCCAGGAGCCCCCATTCCTGTTCTCCATTCCCCAGAACCCCCTATTCGTTCTCTCCATCCCCTCAGGAGCCCCTGTTCCTGTCCTCCATCTCCCAAGACCACTCTGTTCCTATCTTCCATCACCCCAGGACCCCCCAGTTCCTGCCCTTTCTCCTCCAGAACCTCTGTTCCTGTCCTCCATCCCCCCAGCACTCCTGTGTCTATTCCTCGTCCTCCAGGACCCCCTGTGCCTGTTCTCTGTCCTCCCAGGACTGCGGGAGCAGCCAGCTGGACTTCATGGCGGAGCAGTGCGCCCAGACCGACGGACAGCCTCTGCTCCTTCCCGAGGGTGGCACCGCCTTCTACCACTGGAGCTCAGCTGCACAGTACAGCCGGGGTGAGGCTGGCGTGGGTCTGCTCCTTCCCGAGGGTGGCACCGCCTTCTACCACTGGAGCTCAGCTGCACAGTACAGCCGGGGTGAGGCTGGCGTGGGGGTGAGGCTGGCGTGGGGGTGAGGCTGGCGTGGGGTCCTGGCTGGAGGGTCTCGCTGGGGCAGTGGAGGGACCATCCTGTCCTCAGGTGCTGCTCGGCAGAGGCCCCACCACAGCCTGGCTCTGTGCCTTGCTGCCGGGTCAGGCCACGCACTGCCACTGCCATCTCTGAACGGCACAGACACAGGGAGTGTGTGTTTGTGTGTGTGTGTGAGTGTGAGCTCAGCAGCTGCCCTGGCAGACCTCGTCCACAGCACAGATGTAGCAAGGTTTCCATGAACAGGATCCGCCTCGGGCGAGTCTGTGGTGCTGGTGCCAACAGCAGGTTTTTCGGGAGAATGTTCCAGAGACGAAGGGTGATGCCTGACGCGCAGGGCTGATGGGAGTGAGGCCGGGCTGGCTACTCTGTTCTCTCTGCCACACTGGGGCCCTCCCTTCCCCCCAGGGGACACTCTGTGTAGGTACATGTGCCGGGCAGTGGGCGAGCGCTTCCTCATGCGACGAGGGGACAGCTTTGTGGACGGGACACGCTGTGTGCCGAGTGGCCCACGGGAGGACGGGACCGTCAGCCTGTGCGTGTCGGGCAGGTGCAGGGTAGGTGTGAGGTGTGGCTGCCCCAGCAGAAGCCTCTGGGTAGGGGCCCTTTGGGGGGCAGTGTGTGGGGGTCGGTTCAGCTGAGGGCAGCAGGGGCTCCATGGAGTGATTGTGGACATGGCCAAGGCCTGAGAACCTTGCCGTGGTCCTGGGGTCTTCCTGGCTCTCCACCACCTCCCTGGTGGGTTCTGTGGGTGCTGTGGGGTGCCTATGAGTGAGCCCCTCCCTCCCCCTCACACAGACCCTGGGCTGTGATGGCAGGATGGACTCTGGGCAGGTGCATGATGTGTGCCAGGTGTGTGGGGGAGATGGCAGCAGCTGCAGCCCCCAGAACGGCTCCTTCTCGACCGGCAGAGCCAGAGGTAGGGGCTTCTGGGGTGTGCAGGGCTGCTCCCAGGCTCTGGTCGAGAGGCAGGGCCTCCTGGGTGGGATTCACGCTACTCCACAGCCTCTGATCCAGAGCTAGGGATTTCTGGGAGTTCGGGCAACTCCCCAGCCTCCAAACCAGAGATAGGGGCTCCCAGGGCCCACCCCCTGGCCTCTGAGGAGCTAGGCACCTGGGGCACAGATCAGAGACCATGCATCTGGTCTGGCCGTCCTGGGCGGCCCTTCCTGCACCCTGCCCTTCTCACAGAGCTTGGGTTTGTCAGTTCTCTGGCTTGACATTAGGTGAAGCGATGCCCTCTAATCCTGTGAACGACAGATGGGAACCTGGCCCATCCCCCGCCACCCTCACGCCCTGTGCCACATTCCAGCCTCCGCAGTCACTGCACCAGGCAGCTCACTGAGGGTCGTCCTGTCTTTCCCTGGCCTCTTCTTTCTTCGCGTAATGTCTTCTTTAAGGACCAGTCCCTCTGAGAACAGGCGCCTCCCTGGTTCTCTCACTCATGCTTTGTCTTCTAATCAGCACCAACTCACAGCAAGTTTCCAGAGATTGTGAATGTCCCAGGAGGAGCTGGCCCATCCTTCCCCACTCGGTGGATTTGAAACCCTGCCTTTGGGGCAACTCCTTCCCCGTTAGGCTCTAGTGCTGCCGTGACAGAGATGCCATAAGCAGGTGCATCTCAGTCCCCTCGTGCTGCTGTGAGAGATACCACGGGCGGGTGTGCCTCGGTTCTCTGTGCTGCTGTGACCGGGACACACGGGTGGGTGTGTCTCGGTTCTCTGCTGCTGTGACAGGGACACCACGGGTGGGTGTGTCTCGGTTCTCTGTGCTGCTGTGACAGGGACACCACAGGTAGATGGCTTTAACAAACAGAACTTTACTGTCCTATAGTTCAGGGACCAGGCAGTCTACTGGGTGAAATGTCATGCTGTCAACCCAAAGGCAGGTGGTTTGTATTCAGCAGCTACTGCAAGGGGAAAAGATGGGCAGTCCGCTTTCCTGAGATTTACCTGCTCTGAAACCTGCTGGCAGGTCAGCTGTGCGCCACCTCTCCCTCAGCCGCACACACCAGCACCGTATTTCTATCAGCCTTGCAGCAGCTGGCGCAATTTGATAAGCAAATAACTTTTGCCGCTGTATTTTCTCCCAAATCCGCCTGCTGAAGTCCACACTCAGGCGCCAGCTCTCGGGGAGCCTTTGTTTCCATCAGCACCTGTGACCATACTGCCCTTGGAGAGCCCGTGTCCTGACGGCCCCTGGTCTCTAGGATTTCCTCACTCACGGGCTCGGGTCAGAAGGATGAACTCCACTCCTGGCCATTCCTTCTTGCTGGTTCTGAAGGCTCTCCCCACCCTCTGCATCACTTTCTTCTTCTTTTATCTCTTTAAAATAAAAAGATATTAGAGGCCACACCCTGGGGATCCCTCCTTTCCATCTGTGGGGGCTGGGATGGGGTTAGTGATGGTGCACCTTCCTTTTTATCCTTTCACAACTTGCATTTATCGGATCCTGGAGAACTGTTGAATCGCTTCCACCTCGTGTTACTACATCCGTTTATTTGGAGGCATGACTCGATCCATGACAAATCGCAGTCCTGTGGCATTCTGGTGGACCCTCCTCTTCTCCTTGCTGAGATATCCAGCCCTAAAGGACACAGCCAGCCAGAGGGGCATTGCCACCAGAAACCCTCATGTCTCAGCAACCTGTGAGAGTGTCAGGGACTTGTAAACGGCGGCCTTGGGGACACCGGGAGGACCTGGGCCGTCTCCCTGGCTGCTCCTCACTGTGGTGGACAGCTTGGATCTGACCCTCTCCTGGCCAGGGCAGTGCTCATCACAGCTGGCCATCCAGCCTCGCTTGGTTGCCCCCAGGACAGTGGGCTCACCACCTCCGGGGCAGGCCTGTGCATTGCTCGGTTTCAGTGCTAAAAGGCCCGTTTCTCTCTGCAGCTGAACTCTGTCTCCTCAGAGCTGTGGTGAGTCCGTGCACCCCCTCTGCTTCCTTCCAGAGTATCTGACGTTCCTCACTGTCACCCCCACCGTGACCAGTGTTCACGTCGTCAACCACCGGCCTCTCTTCACACACTTGGGTGAGTTGGCAGAGGATGCACAGCTTCTTCCCAGAGCCGTGGGGTGGACGGTCACTCCAAGGTCCCTGAGCCCCCAGACACCCTGTGGCCAGACACATGTGCCCCGTGTTGGGGAGGGATACTGGATGGGGTGGCGGCAAGCCCTGCTCTGTGGGCTCAGGGGACAGCCAAGGTGAGGTGTCAGAGGTTACGGTACCCTGTGTCACCACACTCCCCCACGGCCAGTGTGACCAGCTGAGGACGTCTGGACGCCTGACACCCTGTGCTGAACTGGTCTGTGTGCTGCCGTCTGACAGCATGGCTCGCTGTGCCCTGGGGGCCTCCTTGGTCACTCTCACGCGATTTCACATTTCCATCACGCTGCTGTGCGTGTCAGAGAGCACAGCCGAGTGTTGGCTTAATAGCTGTCGGTGCCTGGAAACCAGCAGACCAAGGGTTTTGTTGCACTAACACTCTTGTGCTGTTTCGTGGTGACTGGGAACTGAACCTGTGATAACTCCGAGGCGCCCACGTGCCTGTGTGTGTACTTCACCCAGGACCATGTCTGGGAAGAGGGTCCTGGAAGGGCCCACCCTAAGGGTGGCGAGTTTAGAGGAACGCTCCTTGTAAGGAGGTCACCACACCCTGAGGCCTCGCTGTCCACAGCGGTGAGGGTCCGAGGGCAGTACGTCGTGGCCGGGAACATGAGCATCTCGCCCAGCACCACCTACCCCTCAGTCCTGGAGGACAGCCGCCTCGAGTACCGGGTGGACCTCACAGAGGACCAGCTGCCCCAGCGGGAGGAGCTGCACATCCGGGGCCCCGTGCGGGCAGATGTGGAGATCCAGGTGAGTCGGGAGCACGGGGCGCAGAGGGGAAGTGCTCGACCCCTTCAGGGAGACACGGGGGGGAGTGAGCTGCTGTGAGGGGACAGCTGTGGGAGCCCTGGGGGGACAGATGGGACAGCGTGGGGCTGTGAGGAGGCGGCAGTGGGAGCCCTGGGAGGGGGACAGATGGGGCGGCCCTGGGAGCCCTCAGAGGGGGACAAATAGGTGGCCCTACGAGTCCTTGGAGGGTGACAGATGGGTGGTCCTGCAAGTCCTCGGAGGGAGACAGATGGGGTGGCCCTGGGAGCCCTCAGAGGGGGACAGATGGGTGGTCCTGCAAGTCCTCGGAGGGGGACAGATGGGGCGGCCCTGGGAGCCCTCGGAGACAGGTCTACTCTGTCCTGCAGGGTTGCTGGGAGTCGGATCAGCTCGACAGCAGGGGGCGGTCCCTGAGAGACAGGAGCCCTGGGGGCTGGGTGTCCACGGGTCGGGTAGCTCGGACCTGCCAGCTGTTCTGAGGGAGCGTGATGAGGCCTTCTGCCCCTGTGACGTTTTACAGCGGTCACTGTGGGTGGTCAGGGTCAGACCTGTTCCCAGTTGTGTTGAGACACACAGACTCCTGAGCACCAACACTGCCTCCTCCTCAAGGCGGGACCGTGTCCTGTGCACAGTGTCTACCCATCGCCTGGCCCAGGGTCACTGTGGGACCTTGCTGGGGAAAGGACGCAGGGACTGAGGGATGCGAGTCGGAAGGCTGCCTGAAGGGGGTGGCGAGGGCCGAGGAGGTGGTCCAGGCCTGAGGCTCTGTCCACACTGCTGCAGGTGTACAGACGTCATGGTGAGGAGTTCGGTGCCCTCGCTCGCCCTGAAATCACCTTCAGTTACTTCCAGTCCAAGCAGGCACAGCTGGGAACATGGGCGGCTGTGCGGGGGTCCTGTTCGGTGAGCTGTGGGGCAGGTGAGGCCCCGGGGAAGGGCTGGCCCCTAGTGCTGGAGGCCCTGCCTGGATGTGGCCTAGCCCTCCTCTCCCTCCCAGGGCATCGCTGGGTGACCCACGTCTGTCTGGCCCAGAATGAGCTGGTGGAGGCCGCCCTCTGTGGAAGGAGACTCGAGCCCCCGGCGTGGCTGGAGTCCTGTGCCCCTGCCCCCTGCCCCCCACAGTAAGTGCTGGCTGTGGCTCTGGGTCCCCATGGAGTCTGAGGCAGCGTCCACTCCACCTTCATCTCACACTGTCTGGGAAGCTCTGTCCACATTCTTGTTCTACAGTGAGGATATAGAGACTGCGGAGGACGTGGCAGTGTCCACGGGGACCTGTGCCTGCCGCCACACTGTCTGTGGGCATTCCGCACTCTGAGCTGAGACCCTAAGTCTGTGGTGGTGGTGCAGCCTTAGAGGGGGGCTGTGGACTGAGGAGGGAGGCAGGGAGGGAGGGCTGACGTGGCCACCACCAGCTGTGCGTGAGCTTGAGAGCAGGGCATCCTGGCTGGGAAGCAGCCCCCACCTTGTCGGCAGGGGCCAGTGTCTGGGACAGCCGGGTGGGCAGCCTCAGGGACACTGGGAGAACCACTAGGCCAGGCCGATGGACGAGCTCAGGTGCTGGACTTAGAGCAGAGACACCATCACATCAGTCCTCCAGCCCCTTGGCTCTCCTGAGCCAGCCTGGGGACTGGCCAGCATCTGTCATGGTCACAGACTTCCTGTGAAGTTCGGCCTGGAGGGGGGGCCCACAGGAGCAGGGAAAGCTGGGTGGGTGCCTGGGGCAGTCTCCCGAGAGCCTGCTCACCACCTGGTACAACGTGGCGGCCCAGCTCTGCAAGAGCAGACCTGTCCTGCCATGAGCATGGGGCTGGCCGGCCTGGGTGCTGCGTGACCATTTGTGCGATTTGCAGGAAGGAGGTGTTGCTCCCTGGCCCGGCCACAGGGAACAGGCCGTGTGTGTCGGGGGCAGAAGGTAAGGAGGCTCAGGTGGCTGTTGGGCCATGTTCCACAGACAGGAAGCCACCCACGCCCCCAGCCTGCACAGGGACCATGTGTCACCAGCCATGGGGCCAGGTGAGTACCTGGCAGAGAGGGAGGAGGCAGCTGGGCTCTGGGACCCTCATCTGGCTGGGAGGAGGGTGACTCTGGTTTCCCTTTCCCTCTCGGACCAGTGAGAAAACAGGATGCTTTCCAGGGCATTGCTGGAGAGTGGCTTTCTCAGGAAGTCTACTCAGAGACAGGGTGTTTGGGGTTCCCTCAAGAGAGCCCCTCGTCACTTGTAAACCAGCCTGAGAGAATCCAGACCACGTTAGCACTGAATGAGTTTAGCTCAACTGCCACGTAGAGAATGGGGAGCTGGTGGCACAGTGGTCAAACAGTAGGCTTTTAATGGAGGGATCAGTGGTTCAAATCTCTCCTGTGTCTCTGTGGGAGAAAGACCTGGCTAGTGCTCCCATGGGGACAAGGCTAGTGCTCTTAGTACTCCCATGGGGATGAGGTCCCATGGGGATGAGGCAAGTGCTCCCATGCTGACGACACTAGTGCTCTCATGGGGACAAGAGCCAGAAGCCCCATGAGTGGTCCTGTCTGTCACATAGGATCCACTTGACGACAGCGGGTTTGTGGTGCTGAGTCCAGGGGCTGGGGGCTGATGGCTTTGCACTGACCCCTTCCCCTCCTGGGATGTGGATGGATACCTGCCCTGAGAAGCAGGTCGGGGCCTGAAGGGCTGCTCGGACCTCTGCAGGAGTGGGCAAGGGCTTTCCAGAGAGGAGAGAGAGAGGCGGCCCCCAGGATGTTGGGGGCCCCTTCTTGAGCTCTGCTTTCTCCCTGAAAGATTAGGGGGTGGGTACAGGGCCAGGTGAGGAGGGGCTTGGAGGTCCTCAAATGGTTGCCTCCTGCAGGTGGCCTCCACGTCTTCAGGGGAGGAAGCGCCATCCCCTCTGAGCAGCAGCTGGCCAGGGGTGCTCCCCGCACATGTGTGGACCCTGCGTGGACCTTGTTCTGTCTCCTGCGGCCGAGGTGAGAGCCCCCTTGAATTTCCCCAGGAAATCCATGTGCATTCATGGCTGCTTGCTTAGCTCTGGAAAGGGTTAGAGACCCGTGATTTACAGCTTTTGAAAACCCTCTAGAGGGTCGGCAGGAGGAGGGTCCAACCTGATGGCATGAGACAGAACACAGTCGTCCTCAGGTCCCTGAGTGCCACTTGCCCAGTGGTGGGTGGTTCAGCCCCCCGGGCACCTCGGCAGCAGCCTGGTGACGGCTTTGGAAGGCTAACCACTGCTGTGGAGTCAGTGGTGACGCACAGCCCCCTCCACCACGTTTCCCACGTGGTAAATCTTTTCCAAGGAGACTGTCCATCTTTCTCCTGTGGATCAGTTAATGGATTCGAACTGCCCGCCTTTCCACTCGTAGCCCAATGCCCTACCCACTGTCTTGAGGAACCCGTCGAGCAGTTCTGCCCACACTGGGTGACCACAAGTCGGAACCGACTTGACGGCCATTAACAAGTCAACACAAACGACCCCAGAACACAGATGCTGGGGACACAGCCCCTCTATACCAGTCAGCTAAGCTGTGCTCTGGAACTAAAGCCCCAACCACGTTCTCAGGTCAAGTGCGGCATGTGGAGGGCGGGGATGGGGGGGGACCCTGATACCATCTGTGAGATGAACCCAGTCACGTGTGCTTAGGACGTAGTCGGCCTGGAAGGGGAAAGAGTTTCTCATCAATAATTTATATGCACATTTTCTGTGACGCGTTTGTAATCCGCTCAACGTAACAGCACCTGACCTGCTTCCTCCCTGGATGCCCCACTTCCATTCTTCCTCTCCGGCCCTTTCTTTTCGGCCACATGCTTCCCCCTTGGTCTCGTGTGGTTGACTGTACTGAGGACGTTCCTCTCCTGTCTGTCGTGTGGCCGACAGTCGACGCCGGGGGTTAGAGGCCGCAGCATCAGGGCATCCCCAAGTCTGCATCAAACCAGGAGGTCCGGTCGTATCTCAATTCTGATGATGCTTTGCGGTCAGCAGTAGCCGCTACCCTTGTCCAGCACCTGCCATGTGCCGGTCACATTGCACGGCCCCAGAGATGCTCCATGAGAAGGGGACGGCGTGGTCAGTCACGTTCTCTAGTCCAGGGCTGCCCGAGTGAGGAGCAGGCCCCTGTGGGGGACCCCTAGCTGTTGAGCGAGCTGGTGGTCTTGCTGAACACCCTTCCTGGGTGTGGGGTTCCCTGCTCCCCTGCAGGCCTGAGGGAGCTGCGCCCCGTGTGCATGGACCTCGCCCTTGGCACGGCTGTCCCGGAGGAGCTGTGTGACCCTGAGGGCAGGCCTGGGAGCCGGCAGGAGGCCTGCCGGGCTGCCCCGTGCCCTGCAAGGTGGGTGGAGCGAGCGCACGCAGGGAGGGAGGTGCCAGTTCAGGGTGTCCTCTCAGAGCTCTGCTGTCCCCTGCAGGTGGGAGGCCCGAGCCCTGGCTCCATGTCCAGTGACATGTGGAGGAGCCCGAGTGCCCCTAGCTGTGCGCTGCGTGAGGCCCGATGGCAGCCGCACCCTCCCACTGCCCCACGCCAAGTGCTGGCGGCTGCCCCGGCCGGGCCCCCTGGAGGACTGCAGCCTGGAGCCCTGCCCCGCCAGGTGCCCGCTCCCCAGCACTTCTCCCCATGAGCCTCAGGAAAATGGGTTTGATGGCGCCTTGTGCATAGGGCTGTGCTGGCCTCAGGCCATCAGCTGCTCGGCTCCCCTCCTCTCAGGTGGAGAGTCCTGCCCCCAGGTCCCTGCTCAGCCAGCTGTGGCATTGGCACCGCCCAGCGCTTGGTGTCCTGTGTGCGGCTGGACAGAGACCTCGAGATAGAGCTGGATGAGGTGGCCTGTGTAAGTCTGGAGCGGCCACAGGCCACCGTCCCCTGCTTGCTGGCTAACTGTGACTACCAGTGGCACGCGGGCACCTGGATGGAGGTGAGTGTCCCCAGTGGATGGGGGGTGGTGTGCCAAGGGACCTGTGAGGGTGGTGAGTGTCTTCTCCCGTGATGCTGGACAAGTCACCTATCAGGCAGTGTCACCTCTGCCCCCAGGGGCTGACCCTTCAGACCCCTAGATGGGGATTCAGGGAGCACCATGTTTAATGTCAGAGTTTCACCCAGTCTGCAGACTCCAGATACACTGGGTCTACTGAGGGCAAAGTTGGGGCTTCTGGGGGCAGAAGAGAGAGTGATGTGTACAGAGGTGGGGGCAGGCTTTCAGGGTACTCATGAAGCTGACACTTCAACCCACAACAGAGGAGAGAAGCTCTCAGGTGCCAGGAAGACACACGGGCTTAGCGCCTGGGGCTCACTCAAGTGTCGGGGGTGACCAGGCGGAGTGGAATAGGGAGAGGCCCGGCTCTCAGACTTGCCCTCACTTGTAGCCCCTGCCACCCTGAGGGGCAGAGGGGAAGGTGGGGAGGGGAGTGATTAAGAGACAAGTGTAAGGGGGAATCAGGCCTCAGGCACATGGAGGTCAAGTCTAGGGGATGTGGGTAGTTAGGCCTTGGGGACATGGGGGTCAGTCTTCAGGGCTGGGTAAGGGGGCTCAGGTTTCAAGGCTGGGCGGAGGTGCTAGATGAAGGGGTCCAAGTCTCCAGAAGAATACATAAGAGGCTTTAGGCTTCATGACAGGTGGAGGTGGCTCTGGGGACAGAAGAGAGGGGGGGCCCAGGCTCTCGGGATGGGCAGGAGAGCCAGACCTCAGGGACCTGGGGGGGATCAGGTCTCAAGGATGTGTGAGGGGGGACCAGGTAGAGGAGACAGGTGAGACTCAGACCACAGGGGGAGGGTTTGGGCACATGGGACAGGTGAGAGGGGTCAGGCTTTGGGGACTATTGGGGGAGAATGGCTTCAGGGATTTGTTGAGGTTCACAGTGGGAGGAAGGTTGAGGGGATTTGGAATAAGGGGACTGGTAGGAGATCGGGAGTGGGTTGGGGATCAGGCTCAAGGGGTCATGGGGGTCAGTCTAAGGGGGTGAGGGGGTCAGGCCAAGGGGCATGGTTAGGGGTCAGCCTGAGGGGGTGATGGGGGTTCAGGCTGAGGGGGTGATGGGGGGTCAGGCTGAGTGGGTGATGGGGGTTCAGGCTGAGGGGGTGATGGGGTCAGGCTGAGAGGATGGTTGAGGGTTGGGTTAAGTGAGTAGTTGAGAATCAGGATGAGGGGCTTGGTACTCATGGGGGTTCAGGTCCCAGGAGGAACCCTGGTCACTGCTCTCAGTGTGGAGAGGCCACAGGGCCATGGGTGTGATGCCGGAAGACCAGCTTGGACTTGGTCCCCTCTCCCATGTATGCGTCATTGCTCCAGTGACCTCTCTGAGCCTTGATCTTCTCATCTGTGACACGGACACACTTGGTCTCCCTGGATGTGCTGATGTTCGCTCATGTCTTCCCCGTGGTGGGTGCACACGGCCTCCACAGTCCTAGTCGCCCTTGGGGCCATCACCGTTCTCCCTCTCCCTGCAGTGCTCCGTCTCCTGTGGAAATGGCATCCAGCGCCGGGAGGACACCTGCCTGGGACCCCAAGCCCCTACACCCGTGTCGGCCGACCTCTGCCAGCACCTGCCCAGGCCGGTGACAGTGCGGGGCTGCTGGGCAGGGCCCTGTGAAGCTCAGGGGACGCCCAGCCCTGCACCATCGGAGATAGTGACCACTGCAGGCCAGACCACGGCCCCCTCAGCTGGAGCTGGTTCAGAGCAGCCGCAGGCCCAGGCCCGCCTGCTGCCTCCAGCAGCCCAGCCTCACATGTTCCTGCCTCGGGAAAACCCTGCAGGGTCCAGTTATGTTTCCCCTCTTTTCTGGGGTGTTGGCTGCAGGGGGTGGGCAGAGGCCAGCTCCCGGTGGGGAATCGTGACTACCACAGCAGTTGGACCAAGGCTGGCCCACCCTCCCTCCTTTTATGACCCAGGGAGAGTAACAGCCCAGCTCTCACAGCAAAAGTGTGAGCCAGTCTGTGACCCTTGACTGGTGCCCTGCTGAACATACAGCACCTCTCAGGAGGCTTCCTGACGCTATGGACACTGTGCAGGCCCCTGCCCAGCTCCAGCCCAGCCTCCGCTGACCCTCTTCCAAAGCCTTTGCCCAATACCTGCCCAGTCCCAGCCCAGCCTCTTCTCTAGGTCCCTGCCCAGCCTGCTGCCCTGTCCCCAGCACAGTCCTCTCTACCTGGTCACTACCCTGGCCCTGACCTGGCCTCCTACCCAGCCACAGTCCACTCCCCTGCCCCCAGCCCAGCTCCCTCCTTGATCCCGAGTCTAGCCCCCTTTGAGGCCCCTGCCCAGCTCTCTGCACATCCCCCTGCCCAAATCCTAGCCCGGCCCCCTCCCTGGCCTGGAAGCCCTCCTCACAGTGGCCTACCCTCCCTCAGGTGTCTGTGGAAGGCAGTTCCTGGAGCCAGCAGGGACCATTGACCTTCGAGGACCAGGGCAGACTGACTGTGTGGTGGCCATTGGGCGGCCCCTTGGGGAGGTGGTCACCCTCCATGTACTCGAAGGCTCCCTCAACTGCAGTGCTGGTACGTTCAGGGCTCCACCCCTGGCTGCTCTGCGAAGACCCTCCTCTTTCATCACGTCAGCCATCTTGTGACCGGGTGTGGGTGTCCCACTCTGCAGATGAAAAGACCGAGGCTGGGAGGGATCCAGTATTGTGGGTCTCACAACCAGTAAGCAGGAGAGAGGGGACTTGAACTGTTGTGCCTGGGCCCTTCCCAGGGGAGATGCTACTGCTCTGGAGCCGTCTCACGTGGAGGAAGGCGTGCCGGAGGCTGGCCGGGGCCACCTTCAGCTCCAGAGCCAACACGCTGGTGGTCAGGCAGCGGCGCATGCGGCCAGGCGGCGGGCTGCTGCTGCGATTCATGGGCCAGCCCGCTGTGCACACATCCCACCAAGGTACGGCCTGCACCGGGCACACCACCACCTGCCTAGCCAGTGGCTGGGCCAGGGCTGGTGCCACAGGGGGCAGGCTGCTGGGCATAGCAAGGATGGAAGGCTTGACTCGGAGGAGGGAAGCGGATAGGATGAGATGCAGGGTGTGTGCCGTGTCCCTTCTTCGCTGGGGCTGAGCGGAGAATGGGGTCACCCCAGCCCTCAGGCCAATGCCCCACACCTGCGTGTAGCACCCCAAAGTCCTGGGCAGAGTCGGGGTGTTTTGTGTGTCTTGCTTCAGCTGCTTTCCCTCAGCCCTGTCCCACCTTCCTCGCTCCTCCCTCACAGATGTGCATGTGCATGTACGTGTATACACGTACAGGTGTACTCACCTGCCCTGCGGTGCCCTGCTCTGAAAGCTCGCTGGTTGTCCAGGACCCGCCCTCTCCCAGCAGCCCAAGTGGGCTTCCCAAGCTGGGCCAGAGGGTTCCACCTCCCCTCCCCCAACCCCGGCCCCACCAGGTGTGCAGCAGGGACAGTGAGGCTCAGGCTGGAAAGCACTCAGGGCCTGTCTTTTGCCCATCCTCTCCTGCACACCCGTGGGCACTCACCTTTGGGAGGCCCCAGAAGTACAGGCAGGGGTGGGAGGGCACCCAGCTGTACACATGATGTCATCAAGCCCTCATGGAAGTGGCCCCCTCTGCATGTGCCTCCCTGTACAGAGGGAGCTGAGTGCTGGGCAAGTCCTCCACCAGGAAGGATGTCTGGCCACACCCCCCACTGCCTCTGGTGCCGAGTGACCTGGGCCTCTGACGTCATGGTCACCAGGCTCCTGTGCTCCTGAGCTGGCCACCCAGTGGCACTCAGTGCACCTACCTTCTGGCCCACAGAATGTGACCTGCAGCTCTTTGGACCCCGGGGTGAGATCAAGAGCCCCTCACTGAGTCCAGATGGGACAAGCTCTGGGGGCTGCAGAGTCTTCATCAACGTAGCTCCACAGGCCCGGATGGCCATCCACGCCCTGATCACCGACACGGGCACAGGGGCCGTGGGGACTGGTACCAGCTACATCTCGGTGAGGTCACCGGGTGCAGACAGGAGTGGGGCTATGAGTATGACACAGCTGACCAAGGGCTGGGGTTGCCGGCATAGAGGAGATATGAACTTTATTTCAGACCAAAGGCCCCCAAGTCATGACGTAATATTTCACCCAAGTGCTAACTGTGTGTGTGCACGTAGAACTGTGGGTGCATAGCTGTTTGGTTGTAACTGCGCAAGAAGAACTATGTGCGTGTCACTATGCGTGCTCACGTAAGACTGTGGGCGAGTGACTGTGTGCTCATGTAGAACTGCGGGCGTGTGACTGTGCGGGCACGTAGAACTGGGTGTGTGACTGCGCGCGCACGTAGAACTAGGCGTGTGACGGCGCACGCACGTAGAACTGCAGGCGTGTGACTGCGCGCACGTAGAACTGGGCATGTGACTGTGCGCGGGCATGTAGAACTGCGTGCGTGTGACTGTGCGCGGGCACGTAGAACTGGGCGTGTGACTGCGCACGCACGTCGAACTGCGGGCATGTAGAATTGGGCGTGTGACTGTGCGCGCGCACGTAGAACTGCAGGCGTGTGACTGCGCGCGCACGCACGTAGACCTGCAGGCGTGTGACTGCGGGCACGTAGAACTGGGCGTGTGACTGTGCGCGGGCATGTAGAACTGCGTGCGTGTGACTGTGCGCGGGCACGTAGAACTGGGCGTGTGACTGTGCGCGGGCATGTAGAACTGCGTGCGTGTGACTGCGCGCGCACGCACGTAGAACTGGGCGTGTGACTGCGCGGGCACGTAGAACTGGGCGTGTGACTGCGCACGCACGCACGTAGAACTGTGGGCGTGTGACTGTGCGCATGCACGTAGAACTGTGGGCGCATGACTGTGCCCGCGCACGTAGAACTGCGTGTGCATATGTAGAGCTCTGTGTACGTGTAGCTGTGCAGGCACAAGATCGTATGCGTGTCGACCTGTGTGCTCCACAGATGGCTAGGCTTTTGCGTCACCTCTGGTCGGCTCCGACCCACAGCTGTTGTTAGGTGCCTTCGGTTTGAGTCGGAGTGACACTATGTGCAACAGATGGAGACCTTGCCAATCCTTCGCCATCCTCATAATCCTTGTGCTTATTATAAGAATCCCCAGCCAGACCCACTGCCATCAAGTTCATTCTGCTCGGCTCAGTAGGACACAGAACTGTCCCTTAGGGCTTCCCAGGGTGCAGATCAGGAAGGAAGCCGACTGCATCATCTTTCTTCCCAGAAGCAGCTGGGTGGTTTTGAACAGTTGACCTTTTACTTAGCAGAAGAATGTCTTGAGTCCATCACCACCAGGGCTTTTCCTAGACTTTTTCTGACACAGCTGCTAGTTAAGCTTAGATGGCACCATCATGCATTTTGCCAGACAACAGAGGCCATCCCCCGCCCCAACTCCATGAAGTTTTATTTGTCCTGGGGGAACAAGGCAGGCAGCCTGGGCCCTGAGATGTCTGGCCTGAGCTCAGAGCTCAGCTTGGACCCTTGGAAGCCCCTGCTGTGCTGGTTGGTGATCACGTGTGACTATCCTTCGGGTTGCCCCTTTTTGCTCAGATTCAGGATATGCACAGACTGCGGACCAAGACTTTCCGTGGGCAGCAGTCCCTGTACTGGGAGTCAGAGGGCAGCCAGGCCGAGGTGGAATTCAGCAAGGGCTTCCTGGAGGCACGTGCAAGCCTGCGAGGACAGTACTGGACTCTCTACAAGACACAGGAAAATGGGGACCTGTCTGGGCCCTAGCAACCCTTCTACTCTGGTCTGCACCACGTGTCATCGGAGGTTGGTGCAGGGGGCTTCCTGACGCTGGAACGTGCCACCAAGCGGACAAAGACGGTTAGGACGCTGGTGGTTGCTGGCCAGCCCGGAAGAGTGGCCTCTGCTTTCTGAAGATGAGGATGAGGTTTAGAACCTCCATCCAGCTTAGGCATCCCTTGGGGTCTCTGCCACAAGCATGCAAGGCACCAATAAAAGGATTGTTAAGGAACGGCAGCTTGGATGGCCTCTTTGGCTCCTAAACCTTCCAAATCTGGCCGGAGACTCCTCCCAGGCTGGGCAGAACTTCTCTAGCCACGTTTGGACTCCAGACCCATTAAACCAGGGCAAGCCCTCACCAAGGCCACTGCTTCTCGATCAGGGAAGAAGTGGAGCAGGACTGGGCCGGAGACTGGCTCATCTGGTCATTTAGACCCCTAGGCTATTCCGGGGCAAGCAGTGTAGCCGCCAGGTCCCCCCCACCCCGCGTGCTAATGAGCTGTCTGCGCCCCACTCCGGATGTGGATAAAATCGCCTCCACTGGGGCTCGCCTCGCTCCTATGCCATACAAGGACACGCAGGACGACCTGGCCGCCAGGGTGTAAGTGACCTTTATCTCTCCGGGTCCCGTTTCCTATGCTAATGAGGCACAGCTGAGCTTTGCCCTGAGAGCCACACCCCTCATGCTAATAAGTTCTCCTCTCACTCAGCGAGCCCCTCCCCTTTGTTATTTCAGGGCCGGACTCTCAGGTCTGCTGTCAGTGGTGGGAGTGTCTCTACTCCAGTAGGCCACGCCCCTAAATTCAGAGTCCGTTGCTTGCCTCGGTGTCCAGCAAGCCTCGCTCCACGCCGGGCGCACTCGGGCAGTGCCCCGTGACCCCGCCCCTTATGCTAATCACAGAGCGAGCCATGGCTGTCCTTTGCTAGCCCCACCCCTTATGCTAATACAACCGCCGAGCCCAAGCAGGACCACCTCCTATCCATGTTACTCGAGGAGCCCGGGGCGGGTCTCTCCCGGCCCCGCCCCTTATGCTAATATGCCCCCCGGGCCACGCGGACGGACCCGCCCCTTATGCTAATACAACCGCCGAGCCCAAGCAGGACCACCTTCTGTCTATGCTACCCGAGGAGCCCGGGGCGGGTCTCTCCCGGCCCCGCCCCTTATGCTAACAAAGCCCTCTCCCACAAGGCCTCGCGCCGCTGCGACGCGGGCAGCCCTGAGTCTTTGTGCGGGAGCGGGTCGCGGCTTCGCGGGTCGGCGGCGCGATGAGCGGCGCGGGCGCGGCGGCGTCATCGGCCGGCTCGGCGCCGCCTGCGCAGGACGATGGCATGACGTGGTGGTACCGCTGGCTGTGTCGCCTGTCAGGGGTGCTGGGGGCCGCGTGTGAGTATCGGCCCGGGGGAGGGGCCGCCCGTCGCGCCGCGCATGCGCCCGACCCCGCCTGCGCCGCTCTCGGTCCGGGGGCCCGCGACTGGGGGCCCGCGGGGCGCAGGGCGGGTCACGTCATCCTGTCTCCAGGGTCCCGGAGTCCAGGGTGTCCCGGGGTCCGGAGGGTCCCAGGGTCCCAGGGTCCGGGCCAGCGGCGCAGCAGGACCTCCTGGATCAGGACGCGCGTGGCGGGGCCGCCAGGGCCCGTGGGGCTCCCCTAGTCCCCCCTCTCTGGGCTTGGCTTCTAGTCCATCGGGACCAGCTGGCTGTGGGCTCCGGGTGGGACACAGGCGCCCACCGGGAGCCTCGGACCAGGCTGCTGTCCATGAGCGGGCACGTCCCTTGCCCGCGTCTCTGGTGGCAGCTCCTGCCTTGGGGTTTGGTGGGCTCCTCCTGGGCACCCCGCGCAGCTGGCCTTAGGCAGGCCCCACCTGTACGCTTGGGCTAGGTGAAGGCAACAGCGCTCCCAGTCTTGGGCGAAGATTGTTTACAGATGGGGAGTGCCTGCCGAGTCTGCAGCAGGAAGCTGCCAGCTGGGAAATTTCCCGGATGCCCGGGGACTGTGCCCCTGGGGAGGCCGGAGGTGGGCAGAGGGAGGCAGCCTCTCCTGTCCACCCCAGAGGTGCCATGCCCTGCCGTGCACACAGCCCGGCTCCAGGAGCAGAAGCCCAGGGAGAACTATATAGGAGGACAGAATGACCACAGAGTCCTGGTGGTGCAGTGGTCAAGCGCTCAATGGCTAAAAGATGAGGCAGTCTGGCCCCGTGAAGACTGGTGGGTGGAGACCCCATGGGCAGTTCTGAGCAGCCCTAGAGGTCCCTGGAGCAGAGCTGGGCAGCCTCTGGTCAGAGTTCCACCAGCCTCTCTGAATCTGAGAGCCTTAGAAACCCTTCCAGGCAGTTCTTTGGTCTCGTGGGGTCGCTGAGAACCAGAAGCACTCAGTGTCTGGGGGTTGGGCTGGGTTTGGATCTGGCTGTCTGTCCCTTCCTTTTCTGTCTGCCTCATCGCCACAGGTTAGCTGTGGGACACCCAGCAGGTCATCTTAGATGGGGGTAGCCAGAGATGTCTGCAGGACCTGCCCCAACTTGCCTGACGTGAGGTCTGGGTCCTGGGCAGGTAGATGCTGACCTGTTCTTCAAGAAGGTCCACTCCAGGTTGCCTTCTTGGTCCCTCATTCCTGCCAGAGGGCTTGAAGGGCAGAAGGTCAGGGCAGTGCCACTCTGGCAGGTGACATCCTGTGCTTTAGGGGGAGGGTGGTCTTGGCCTTGAGGGACGGCAGCTCAGGCCGACCCCGGCCACTGCCGTCCGGGAGGTTAGAGTACTGGTGGGGATGGCGACAGGGGTCTGTAGTGGTGGAAGGAAAGGCCCTCGTCTTGACCCCAGAGTGACCCTCATCTCACCCAGCTTGGTGTCTCAGATGGGGTGCCTGGCATGCTCTAAGTTCATGGTGCCATGTTGGGGCTGCGGAAGCTGCTTCAGGGGAGCCCAGGGCATTCCCTGGAAGGTCAGCCGCAGACACCGACTGTGGGTGTTCGTGAATGGTGAGGTCATGGTGGGTGCTAGAGGTGAAGGGCAGATATGCACTGGCTGCTCCCTTTGGGGTACGGATGTGAGGGGGCCTCAGGAGGGAGCTGGGGGCAGCTGAGCCTGGTCCTGCAGGCTGGAGGAGGGCGTGTGCCTGGTGGCTCCTCTCACGGACTCTCAGCCCTTGTTCTGAGCTCCCTGCTGGGCCCTGTGTGTCTGGACAGTGGTGAGGGTGAGAACCCTGGGTGCGGGGGTTCGGAGGCAGCAGCGTTTGCTGTCAGCCACAGTCAGGCAGGAGCACCGCCTCTGGGGCTCTTGGGGGTGGACACACAGCCAGTGCCACCTGTGTTGGCTAAGCGGGCTGCCTTCCTAGGAGGCTGAAAGTACAGGTTCAGAAGCAGCGTAAGGGCCGGAGAGAGCATCGCTGTGGTGAAGCCCCTCCCTGGCTCCTCTGCCACTGCCTGCCGTCCGGATACGGTTACTGGGGAGAATGGCCAGGAATTCCATACCCGAGCCTCAAGGATCAGGTGCAGGCAAGCTGCTGCAAGTTTAATAAGCTGCTTGCTGATGGCGACCTTCCTGTCCTGCCTGGTTCCTCGTCTGAGGGCAGAGCTGCACCCCGGAACTGCCTCAGCTCCTGGACTCCCAGGCCTCACGTGCTTCAGGCTGCAGGCTGGGGGGAGGCAGGGGGACCACTCTGCAGACCCTGCCTAGGCTTGCAGGCAGAAGAGGACGGGTGGACACATTCACGTTTGGGGCATTTTCAGGGTGAAAGAGGACCCCCTTCCCAAGGTGGCAACTGGCCCCTCCTCCCCTGGGTGTCAGCATGGGCCCCCTGCTGTGGGGACCTGCCCTGTGGTCAGGAGAGGAGGAGGGGACCGAGCCAAGGCCACAGGGCCAGTGTGTAAGTTAGAGCAGGAGTGGCGGCCAGTGGAGGTCTGACCGGGTCCAGGCTGCTTTCTGAGAGAAGCCCCCTCACCTCCGCCAAAGTCTGGGCAACGCTGTGTGAGCTCAGACCTGTTTGTGGCCAGAACTGCAGGTGCAGACACGACCCCATGCCCAGTGAGGTGGGTGTGTCACTGTCTCAAGGTCTTATACTGGCCTCCTTGCTGGATGGCCTCAGTGCTGTTGGCATCAGGGCCAGCCGGCTTCAGAGTGTGAGGGCTGGAGTGCTGAGCTCATGGAAAGACCCAGCGGGGGCTCCTCCCCCAGCCTGTCTCCCCTTGGCTGCTCTCCTCAGACGGGTGGCCATCTCCCTGGGTGGCGGCCCTCCCTCTGGTGGCCACCCTGTAGTCCGCCTCCACGCTGACTCTTGCCTATTTCTCTTGCCTTCAAGCCTGCGCCATCTCCGGCCTCTTCAACTGCATCACGATCCACCCCCTCAACATCGCGGCTGGCGTGTGGATGATGTGAGTTGCTGACGGGCCGGCGTGTCCTGCCGGGGCTGGGCTGTGGCCATGGCGTGGGGCTTCACCTTGCTGCTGTCACTGTGCACACCACGCCCCGTGTTTGGTTTTCCTGGTGAGACCAGTGCTGGGTCTCCCCCTCAGCCACTGCCGAGTGAATCGCGAGGGTTTCCCGAGTAGGGTCCTTGCCCCCTGGGGCACCTCGGGTCCAGTGTTGGCTGTCCAGGTCAGCCTAGTCAGGGCCTGAGAGCGGGAAGAGCCATGTGCAGATGACGGCTGCACTGGGAAGATAGGAGGTTTGTGAGGGCACATCAGAAAATAGCAAGGGCCCAGCAACTAGCCTGTCCATGGACCTTCATGCTGCTTCCATGTCCTGAGCTTTGGGCAGGCAGGCTGTGGTCTGAGAATGTGCATGGGGGTGTTGGGGACTGCCTCTTCTGGAAGGTCCGAAGGGCACGCTCTGCCTTTGTCCTCCCTGAGTGACTGTCCCCATGTCTGTCCTCCCCAAGTGACTGTCCCCGTGTCTGTCCTCCTCGAGTGACTGTCCCGCGTCCGTCCTCCGAGTGACTGTCCCCGCGTCTCTCCTCCGAGTGACTGTCCCCGTGTCCGTCCTGAGTGACTGTCCCCATGTCCGTCCTCCCTGACTGTCCCCATGTCCGTCCTCCCTGACTGTCCCCGTGTTCATCCTCCCTGACTGTCCCCATGTCCGTCCTGAGTGACTGTCCCCATGTCCGTCCTCCCTGACTGTCCCCATGTCCATCCTCCTTTAGTGATTGTCCCCGTGTCCATCCTCCGAGTGACTGTGTCCGTGTCTGTCCTCCCTGACTGACTGTCCTGACTCTGGTGGTTGCTGATGCTTCTTGGAAGGGAGCTTTGGTGGCAGAGTCCTTTGTGTCACTCTGCTAACCCGAAGGTCACCCTCTCTGCTGGGCTGTGGGTGGAAGATGGGCAGTGTCCTCCCAGTGGACGGTCACTGAGAAGCTGCTGCTGCTTAGTGCTCTGAGCTGAGCTGGTGTCCCTGTGCTTCCCGGCCTGTGGTGCATCACACGTCCATTTCACACCACCATCCTCCCTGTCTCTGTCCCTTCTTATAAGGACACCAGACATCCAGATGGCCTCATCTCCACACCCTAAACTGTTTGCAGATAAGGTCCCTTACAGGTAGTCACGCGTGTTGGGAGACGCTGGTCTGCCCGGGACAGAGGCCAAGGGTGGAGCAGTCCTGGAGGCCTCTGATGTCACCCTCTCATCCCACCCTTTGTCGCTGTCCGTCCAGCGTGAACGCTTTCATCCTCCTGCTGTGTGAGGCGCCCTTCTGCTGCCAGTTCGTGGAGTTTGCGAACATGGTGGCTGAGAAGGTGGACCGGCTGCGCTCCTGGCAGAAGGCTGTCTTCTACTGCGGGTGAGTGCTAGGGGCCAGCGCCAGCTCACTGTGCCCGTCCACGCCCACCTGCAGGGTGACCCAGAGGACCAGGCAGGGCTTGAGGGACAGTGCAAGCACGTCCTTGTGGGAGAGGTTTAACCCGCAGCCTTTGGACAGAATGGACTGACAGACGCTAAAATGTTCCCCAGTGGTTCCTGGCAGGAAGGAACAGAGCCTCCCACATGGTCCTCACGTCTGGAGAAGCCCCAGGCGAGGGCCCACCGGTTGCGGCCACATCACAGGTTCCTGCAGCCTCTCTTGCGTTGTAGGGTCCAGGTGCCCATGTGGGAGGGAGAAAGCCATCTGCAAAACAGACATTTGTGGTTCTTGAGCGGCTCTCCCTTCACACTGAGGCTCCTGGTGAGCTGTGCAGCGTCTGAGCCGTCTCACGTCAGCCACACAGATCTCAGGACCAGGCCTGGGCCAGGTGTGCCTCAGGGGCAACAGCACCCCTGGGTGTAGCCGTGGGGTGCTGAGTCCTTCCTGTCTAGATGACCTGCACACCTGAGGCCCCTCCCAGCCCGGTGTCCACAGTCTTGAGATGCCCGCCTCGGTGGTCTCTCCCTGTGTGGACTGTTGTTCCTGTTAGCGGCTGCACAGTTGGTGAGGCCTGGCAGGGAGGGATTGTTGGCCTGCGTGACTCCAGGCTGTTCCGGACCCAGTAACGGTAGGCATCGCCGCCTCTGGCCTGGAATCCTTGGCTGACCTGCGGCTGCAGGGTGGCTGTTGTTGAGTGCCACCGAGTCGTGGACGACTCATCCTGTGAATGAGAGGCCTGGACACTTGCATAACTTGCACCGTTTCTCCAGGTTCATAGAGTTTCTGGAGGCAAGCTATTACGGAAGTGGATGCCACTCCTGCTTCCAAGCTTGTTTTAATCGAGAAGCTCCACCAGACACTGTCCACCGTGGGTAACCATTCTCGCATTTGACACGTCAGTGTCACAGTGTTCAGCATCACAGCAACCACGAGTTACCTCTGTATAGCAAGTGGGCATGCCAGGGTTATACCACCTAAAAAAATGTTAGACCGAAAACAATTAAAACCAGGCTTGAGGGCTGCAGATTGAAGTCACCCGCCTATGGCTTGGGAGCATAGCTTTCTATCCATCAGGCCCACAGAGCTCTCTCTTGTTGGTGGTGTTACTAAGTGCCATTGAGTCGTAGACGACGCATAGTGACCCTGTGAACAAAGGACCTGAACACTCGTATAACTTTCATCGTTTCTCCAAGTTCATAGTATTTCTGGAGGCAAGCTATTTCGGAAGTGGATGCCACTCCTGACTGGAGGGTGTGGAGGGTGGATCACATCATACCTGAGAATGGCAGTGCCACCAGGGGGCCCTGGCCCAGTTACTGTGAGGCTGGGCCCCACGTGCCGGGAGGCACTGGCATCTGGGCAGGCCGCCTTGTGAGCCCTGACAGCTTTACTGGTGGTTTGTTGGGGTTTTTTTTTTTAGCCTATAAACACAGAGGTCTCAAAAAAATTGGCCAAGAGCGTGTAGTTGTTCTGTCCATGAGTTCTTTAGTAAAAGGCGAAGGATTTACATGATCTGAAAAGAAATGAGCACGTGGCTTTGCTGTTGTTGACGAAGCCACTCACTCCCGGAGCTGGTTCTTGTCCCCCGGGACAGAGCAGAGCCTCCCGGTGGTTTCCGAGGCTGCGAAGGCTTCCCAGGAGCTGATGGCCTGACCTCCTCTTTGAGTGACCACCATGTTGGAACTGTTGACCTTTCTGTTTGACATCTGACACTTTAACCACTGTGACACTAGGGCTTCCAGCACAGACTGACGTTTGGGGTGGGGCCTGGGCCCTACAGGAGGGAGTCGGCACCCTCCCCACCCTGCTCTCCAGACCTCACCCTGTGGTCTGATCCTGTTCTACAGTGAGATACTGGCTTCTTGGTCACTAGCTTGCCCCCGGTCACGGACTCCCTGACCTGGTCAGTGCAAGGAGGCACTGGGTTCTCTGAGCCCCGCCTCCCTGGGTGGTGGGCAGCCTGTGTTCTTGAATGAGGTGGGACTGGATCCTGTTGCAAGCCTGCCGAGGATCAGATTCCCAGCCAGGTGGGCGATCAGGCCTTCTGTGCCCCTCTGTCCTAACTGACTGGGCTGCCTGACACCAGCTGGGGACACCTGGGCACAGGGCCGGCTTTGGGGGCACAGAGCCTGGATGTGTCTTCCCAGGATGGCTGTGGTCCCCATTATCATCAGTCTGACACTGACCACGGTGCTGGGCAATGCCATCGCCTTTGCCACGGGTGTGCTTTACGGACTCGCTGCTCTGGGCAAGAAGTGCGTCCTGGGCCCCGGGGGGCGGGGGGCAGAGGGTGGCTGTGCGGTAGGGCACCAGGGCATTGTGACCCCATGCCATGGGAGTGGGTGGGGAGGCTCCTGGGCATCCCTTCCCCTCCACTGACAGCAGGGGTGACTGCAGACATCCCTCCCCACCCTGGGGTCAGTTGGCTCCCAGCCAAGTCAGGCCCAAGTCCTCCCGGCAGTGTCCAGGGGCAGCCATCTCTCTCCTTCAGAGGGACGTGTTTGAGGCCTGAGAAGCCCTGTAGGCCCACACTCGGGGTCTCTGCCTCGTGTGGAGTGGGGCTGGGGCCGGCTCCCCTGTGACCCCCTTGTTCCCATAGGGGAGACGCCATCTCCTACGCCAGGATCCAGCAGCAGAAACAGCAGGACGAGGAGAAGCTCACGGGGACCCTGGAGGGCGAGTTGTGATGTGGCCACATTCCTCCTCCACTGATCACCCTGGACTTTAGCCCCACGCCCGCAATCCTCACCCCCCAACCACGGGCCACCTAGGCAAGGAGCCTGCCCTGTCCCACAGCCCTCCACCCGTCCCCACAGCCCCTTGCCCGTCCCCGCCCATCCCCACAGCCTGGCTCCTCTGGCCTGCTGGGCTCTCTCCCCGCCCTGACTCTCCACTGCAGCTGAGGAGCCTGCCGGCTCTGAGCAGCAGATCGGAGTGTATCTTGGGTGATCAGGCCTTGGCGCTGGAGGCTGTGGTCCCTCCTCCTCGGCTGCCCAGCTCAACGTGAAGTGGGTGCTGGGCAGACTCCGAGACCTACAGCTGAGGTGTTCAGAGGGCACTCCCAGCCGCCCTGTCCCGTGAGCTCTCCTGGGCAGTCTTCGACTTTCTTCATGGACCACGGTTCAACCACGTGCACCACCAGCAGGCAGCGTGGGGGCCCTGTCTCCAGTTTTTGGGGCCTGCACCCCAGGGCTGCCCCACCCACCCATGTCAGACCTTGGTGCTCTCTTGCCTGTGGGCTCCCTTCTCAGCACAGCGGCCTGAGTGCTCAGGCCACCCCACCACTCAGTGCCCCTGCCTCAGCTGTCGGAACGACACCCCATCTCCACACCTGCCCAAGGAACCAGGCAGAAGCCGTCCCACGGCCTGGTGCTGGCTACTAGGCACAGGGCCTTTGTAGGGGGCAGGATGTTCCGCGAGCAGCTCCCACTGGCCTCCTCCCCAGCCAGTCTCCTCCCCTCCCCGACCTCAGCCCCTGCCGCTAAGATTTCAGGCTAGTCCTGAGTTAGGGGCCTGTGTGACAGATCTGAGTCTAGGATGGTGAATAGAGGGCGCTCAGCTCCGTCCCTTGCCCCCAACTACCAGGTGGACTTTTCCTGGACCACTGTGATGGCCAAGCCCAGGCCATGTTAAGTGTCCAGGTGGGACTGGGGGGTAGCTGGCATTTGAGGCAGGGAGCAGCCGAGAGCAGGCGTGGGGCAACAGTGGATGTGTGGGTCCCCACCCTCCCCGCCTGACCAGCCCATGCCCCGGGTGGTGGACGGGCATGTGCCTTCTGGGGTCCTCTGGGGCTACCTTCCTCAGGCCATGCTGGCTTCAAGGGCTGTGGGCTGTCAGCCCACGTGTGTATATGTGTGCGTGTGTGTCTTCTTTCACATATGCAGTGACTAAGACCTACCTCCCAAACGTGCTCACGACCCCTGCCAGAGGCTTCATCAGGACAGAGGCCTACTGCCTTGTGAGGGAGGGAGTGGGTGCTGGGAGGACTGAGGGGAAGGGCTCCCAGCACCAATACTCACAGGCCAGGGGCCATCACTGGCCCTCAACCTGTGGCCCCTCTCCCAGCTGGGGCGGCCTCCACGGGGACACCCCTCCTGCCTGGGTTCCATCCCACACTCCTTCAGTGTCAGTGTCCTGAGCAATAAAGGAGGCTGCAATCTGCAAGTCTGCCTGCCGTGTCATGTAGGAAGAAGGGGCTGCCTCAGACTGTCACCCCACTTCAAAGTGCTGGGCAAGTGTCACTGCTGCCCCATGTTACTGTCATCCACGCCCCATACTGTTGGAGGGCTGGCTCGAAGTGTCCCCTTTTCCAGGGCTCAGTGGGTATCATCTGCCCAGCGAGTAAGCAGAGTCCAGAGCAGCTCCAGCCGCATGGCCAGCTGCCCCCTCCGTGGCTGCCTCCCTCCACTTTGCCGTGTTCATACACCATGTGGTTAAGGGGACTCTGGGCTTCGGTGGCCAAGCTGCCTAGGTAACAGTGGGGTCCTCCCCTGGAAGAGATACCCATCTTCAGGGCCACCCTGGTGCCCGATGCGTTTATTTTCATCGTTGGTGAACACAGTTTGTGGGCAGGTGTGTGTGGAGCTGTCAGGCTCAGAGCCCAGGTTGGGCAGGTCCCATGTTGGCTCACGGAGTCTGGAACGTGCCCTGTGGTGATGGCCAGCTCCCTGCCATCCTCCCACAGCCGAAGTGCCTGGTGGCGGGGCAGTGGCAGCACAGGGCTGTGATATGGGAGCCCCTCGGCTGTGGCCGGGGGTCCTTCAGTCCTGAGGGCCCTGTGGGGGGTGGGAGTTAGGTGTCCCCCACGAGAATGGAGTAGGGCCCAAGGTCACTCAGCTGACATCCCTGGACACCAGGATGTTCCGAGCCTGTGGTCACATCCTTCCCAAAGTCCTGTCTGTGTACCCATCACAGCCTCGTGAGCTGTGGACTGAGGTTGGGTGGTGGTCATACCCCCTCAGCCAGGAAGTGGGTCTGGGGGCCTGTGAACTCCTGGGTCCTCCTGCTCTGGGGGGCAGGGTGTGGGCACTGCTGAGCTGACCAGTGTTGCCCTCTGGTGGGGGCACTGACCTAGCGCAGGAAGGACCTCCTCCGAGTGCGGAAGAAGGCTTCAATCTGCTCCAGTGACCGGCCCCTGGTCTCAGGCACACAGCAGACGGTGAACACCAGGTTCACCAGGCAGATGGCAGCGAAGAAGAAGAAAGGCACCTGCAGACCGAAGTTGTTCTGGGGACAGGAGGGGGGGGTCACGTGAGGAGACGGGGTCCTCCGCCCCACGAGCTATGTGATCTGGGATCACATGGAGACAGTGTCATGGGGGCACACGGAGTCCAGAATCACTCCACTCTATGAGCTAAGTAGCCCAAGGCCACTCGGGGACAGAGGGCAGATGTGGGGGCACATGGGTACTCCAGGTCCTTCTGCTCAGAGACCGCAGGGACTCTGACCTCTGGAGCACTCAGGACTCAGTGGGCCTTACACTGCCCTCGGCAATGCGCCAGGTCTCCTCCCTGCCCAAGGCTTCATGCTCGGCGCCTGCTGCCCTGCCACCCGTCTACCCAGCACTGGCTGTGGGGTCTAACCACCAGCCTGGCCAGGTGCCCACTCTCCAGGGCTGCCCCTAGCTCCCACTGGCCCTCCCAATCTGTCTGTGTTCACTGGCCAGTTAGGAGGCACTAGGGCCAAGCCCCATTCTCCTAGTTCTTGTGAGGGTCTGGAGTTGGGCACTGGTTCTCGTGTGTGGGCACGCATGCATGCATGTTTGTGTGTATGTGAGTGTGTAGGTAGCCATGTACATCCAGCCTAGGGGGGCTGGTGGAGCAGGGACCTGGCAAACCCCATGATCAGGCGGAAAACACAGTGACAAGTGGGTCCTGGGACCCCAGCAGGGCTCCTGGTCACGCTGCTCAGCCTGGGCAGTGAGATGACTTGGGGACCATCCCTCTGTTGTGTTTCCTACAATGAGGGGTTAGACTCGGTCCCCTCAGATGGGGTGGCCCTGACCTGTCATGACCCATGGACAGAGGAGACAGTGGACTCTTGGCACTGGGGTCAGGGGTCCAGCAGACACTCACCACTGCGAGCATGAAGGACTTGGTGAGGGCGAAGGCCGTGAGCCAGCTGGCCAGCACGCAGAGCCCTGAGGCCACGCCACGGGCACGCAAGGGCAGGATCTCTGACATGAGGAGCCAGGTGATGGGCCCCCAGCCCATGGCATAACCTGGAAGGAATGGGTACAGGTCCTGGGTGCCCGCCCAAAACACAGGCAGTGCCCGCTGACCAGTCCTCATCGATCCATCCCCCGTACCGTCCCCCACTGCCCATCCCCACACCTACCCATCCCCCACACCTACCCATGATGAAGAACATAGTGGCCAGCAGAGGTACCAGGGTGAGGTAGCTGGTGGGTGAGGCCGGGGGCTGATCAGTGACCCCCAGCGGGACAGTCTCAAGACCCATGGTGCTGTTGGGGGCTACCGGTCTTGGGCCCAAGTGGACGTACAGCCCTAGCGTCAGGTTAGCAGCAAACATGATGGATGCTGGGGACACAGGTGGCCCTCATGGGGCCAGGCCTGTGAGCAGCACCTCCTGCAGGAAGGACCCCCAGGGCCCCCAGCCCTCTGTGAGTCCCCCCACCCCAGGAGAGCTGCTCATTTTGCTGGAGGTCCTGCAGAGATGCAGGCTTTGGGAACTCTCCACAGGGGCCCCGGGCAGGCTTGCACGTCCCCACAAACAGCACATGCCAGCAGGCCTTTCTGAGGAGCCCCAGCTGCTCCCTGGGGGGACTCTCCCAAGCACAGAGTCCAGTGCTGAGCGGCTGGGCCTCACCTGAGACAAAGAGCAGCACTTTGCGGCCAGCCAGGTCCATGGTCAGCGTGGCGATCAGCACCGAGAAAAGCCTCACGGCCCCGACAATGGCTGCGTCATCCTGGGGGGGCTGTGGGGGAACCGGAGTTAAGAACCAGCTGCTGCCCTGCACCCGAAGGCCGCGTCATCCTGGGGAGCGTGGGGGGACTGGACGTAGGGACCAGATGCCGCCCCTCATCCCGTGACTGCACAATCTTCAAGCGCATCTCCCGCGGACACCCCACCAGTTATCTCCACGGTGCAGAAGGGGAAGTTGGGGTTTGGCTGTGAGAAGGACCCCGAGGTGGCAGTGCTCATGGGTCGGACCTGAGGCCCACAGGTCCCAGGGTGTCTGCTTCCTGTGTCCATTGGACTGACCCCGACCCACAGTGACCGTGGGGACCGACGGGAACAGCTTCACAGGGATTGTGACACCTCAGTCCTTACAACAGGACCACGGCATCGTCCTCCTTGGCAAGAGTGGCTAGTGGGGGAGACCCTCTGACTTTCGGATAGCAGCTAAGCACTTGACCACTGCACCATCAGGGTGGAGATCTCCCATAGAGGGGGCAGGAAGGGTCGAACCACCAAACTGTAAACTAGCAGTCAAGCGCTTTAACCACTGCAGCACCAGGGTGTCTATTTTCACTCTAAAGCTTTTACTAAGAACCCCCCAAACAACTGAAAAGGCTGGTGTTGGGTAGAGGCCCTGTTTGTGCCAAGAGCAAAACTGTGCTCCGCGGGCCTTCACTGGCCGTATCCTGTCGCCTGCCTCAGGGTGGACTCCAAGGGAGAACTTACTGAAGGGTTCTGGGGTCACCTCTTCAAGCGTCATTCCTAAACAGCTAAAACACCTGCGCTCTGCCCAGCGCAGCCCCATCCGCGCATGTGGGGGAGACACCTGACCTCTTCCTCGACAGGCAAGAGGAGGGGTGCCCTCACCCCAGGCCCTAGGAGACCCTTGGGGGGCGGGGCCTCACCAGCAGGACGGCAGTCCTGTCAAAGATGGACTGCAGGTAGACCAGGATGGGCGTGATGCCGGTCAGCTGCTGCAGGAAGCGCATCAGCAAGGCGATGGCGATTGGCCGGTACACGTGCGGGTCCCGGGCCTCAGCCCACGACATGCGACTGCTCTGGAGACACCAAGCCGCTGCTGAGGGGCTGGGTGGACCCTGTACCCAGCTGCTTCCCGCCATGGGCTACTCGCCCTCCTCCAGAGAAAGCAGCAGCCCACCAAGGCTCCCAGGCTCTGGGGACAGTCCCCCCAGCCCCTCCCGTGCTGACAGGGCGTTCCCTGGAGTGGTATCTCTAGGCCTTGACAACCTGCGCTGTGTCCAGGCTGTCCCCTCCCCATCACCCCCTCCTCACCTCACCCTCTCTCTCGCCCTCAGAGCTGGACCTCTGGGCACCATCTCCTAGCTTCCCTGAAAAGGTGGCCAAGGCCCCAAGGGGTGAGCCCCACCTGTTGCTGAACATTGTCCTGGATCTGTGCAAACTCCCAGCGGACATCGGTGTGGGGCCCGCGCAGCCACACCAGCGCCCGCATGGCCTCTTCGTCCCGGCCCTTCGAGAGCAGGAAGCGCGGCGAGTTGGGCATGAAGCTAAGCAGCAGGGTCATGACGAACACGGGCCCCTCACCGGCCGCAGCCAGCCAGCGCCATGGCAGCTGTAGGCCTGGGGGTGAAGCCTGGTCAGGGGCTGCGTCCAGGCCCTCTCCCAGTGCAGCCTCTGAGCAGCCCTATCGACTATTGAGAGATTAGTCTAAGGGCCACCTCCTGCACGAAGTCCTCCCAGATTGGCCCAGGCCTGGGTGAACTAGGCTGGGAAAAACTACATCCCCAAGAGCCCAGTGGTCATGGTGAGGCCCCAGGCCTCCATCCCACCCTGCCCTCCCTTCATTCTCAGTCCCACCCTGGTCTCTTTTGCAATTCCCATAAAAGGAGGTACTTTGATGGAAACAGCGTTCCCACAAGAGGGTCTGCAGACTGCCAGTACAGGGAAGTCCTCACTGTCCTACAGGCGCCCAGAGGTGGGTAAGGCACTGCCTGGAGGCCCCGGCAGCGGGACTGGGGTGGGCAGGCTTTGCCTGGGCTCCATCTCCCACCACCCTCTCACTCCCACAGCTGCATCCCAGAGGCGCTCTGCACTCCTCTGAAGGTCAGATACTTGCCAAGGGCGTAGAGAGACAGGGATCCAAACACTGCCATGAGCTGGGGTGTGGCCCCCAGGGCCCCACGGACTCTGGGGGTTGAAATCTCCGACACATAGACCTGGGGGACAGCTTGAGGTGAGTAGCATGCAAGTTCCCAGACCTGGGCTCGGGAAGCAGGTGGATACAGCCCAGGTGGGGCCCTTGTCCTCTCCTGAGTCAGTATCTGACCTCAGATCAGTCTGCTTGTCAAGTGGGTGGATGCTGAGAACAAAGGTGGCCCTAGGGTCGCCCCTCTGTGGGTTAGCAGGTGGTCTCTGTTGTTCCTGCCTGCTTGTCCTCACCCTGCTGCACCCCCTCTCCCCCTGCCAGCTGACGGTGTGTGGAGCACAGGGGAAGACGTTTCAGGGGCACATACAGTCAGACACTTCCCTTTCCTCCCCATTGCTCAATGTGGATTTTACCCAGTTGAGTAATGCATCTGCCTGTGGTCAGAAATGAGGTAGGGAGTTTGGAGATTCCAGAGTGGGGACAGCTAGGGACATGGGGGAGATTTCCCCAAGTTTCTCCCCGGGCTACTCTGGGAAAGTCAGACATATTCTCATTGCCTGGTGGGCGAGGGGCCAGGAGGGTGCTGCGGCTGGGAGAGTGGTCCAGGCCTTACCGGGATGCAGGCAGCTGTAAGCCCGCCAGCGAAGCCGGTCAGCGTCCTCCCCAGTAGCAGCATCCAGAAGCCCCGGGCCCCTGCCATGAGTGCATAGCCGGTGGCCGAGGGTACAGCCGAGACCATGATGCTGAGCTTCCTTCCCAAGAGGTCATTGAGGAGCATGGCACTGAGGCCACCTGCCGCTGCCCCCAAGGTGAACACGGACTGCAGAGAGAGGGGTGCAGACAGACGTCAGAACACGCAGCACCAGAATCGCGAGACCGGCCCTGCAACAGCTGGGCTGACCCCAGGACTCAGGCCAGGGACAGTAGTGAGCATCCCACCTCTGGAGGTGTACAGGAACATGTGGACATGCACTTGTTAGGGCTGCCACACGGGAGTCCTGCTCTGGGGAGGAAGGGGTGCCCCATGCCCATCACTATTCTGTCTACCTGAAGTATAACATCTCCCATGATAACTCAGGAAAATTCTGGGAGGAGATCACCCCAGGAATGAAGATTTGGGGGACTCTGAAGCCCCCACAGAGTCTTGGCAGCCTGGGGGTGGTGCATGGTGCGCTGCTAATAAAGACCATCGTCAGCTCGAATGCACCGGCCACTCCAAGGAAGAATCAAGGGCAGTGTCCTCGCGTGAATGTTTCCAGCCTCTGAAGTCCCGCTGAAGGCCCGCGGTCAGAGCCTTCAAAGTCCTCCTGCAGTGTGACCAGGACCAGCCTGCGCCCTGCTCCCTTCTAGTGTTCTTCAGCAGTATTTTTGTTGTTGGTTGTCGAGTCAGATTCGACCGGCACAGGAGGAGGCTGTCCATCCTTCTCCGGGATGCCCTGCTCCTCCCTCGCAGCGTGGTGGGGCATGCTGACCCGAGCAACCTCAGCTTCCTCAGCTGAGTTATGGACATGACGGTGGCGCGTGAGAACCGAGCAGCCTGCATGCGGAGGGGCTGGCATGTCCTGGACCAGCAGCAGCCGCTGTGCTGCAGAGGAACCCTCTCTGGTGTCTGAGGAGAGCTGTGCTCACAGATTCTCAGGGACTAAGCTTTTGGAAGTAGACTGCAACGCCGTTCTTCCGACGTACCCCAGGGTGGACCTGAACCTCTAACCTTTTTTGTCAACAGCCAAGTGCTTATTTTAGCCAGAATGCCCTAGTTCTACAATTTGAGGTTACTAAACGCATCCTAGACCCTGGGACCCCGAGGCTGGCCCTCCCTCATATGTTCAATCTGTCCTGAGCACATGTGTGTGACTGGGTCCTGGGGACTTTCCTGACGCCACCCAGTGCCTCATTCTAACACACCTGACACCCAGCCAGGGGAGGCGTCCCCTCTGTGAGGCAGGGCTGAGGGGGTGTTTTGGGGGTGTGGTCTGGGCAACCTTGAGGCCAGGAGACACCGCCCATTGTCCTCCAAGCTTCTCCATCACTTTCACTTCCCTTTCTTTTCTCTCATCATCTGCGCCTGCCCCCAAGCAGCCTGTAGTTGGGTCAGTGGGGGCGGGCCAGGCCCTAGAGGGGTCCCAAGGGAGAGCTCTAGGGGATCCTAGCTGGGAGCCGAGATCAAATGTTCCCTGGGTCCCCCACCTACCCCAGCTCGGAGGACAGACAGCTCTTACCCCGAACCAGGAGGACTGGACTTGAGTCAGGCGCAGAGCTGGGTCCAAGTGGCGCTCCAGGATGGGGATGACAGGGGACGTGTAGACCAGGGCGTAGCCGAAGCTAAAATTGCCCAGCACAGCAGCGAAGGTGGCCAGGAACACCCTCCTGTTCTGTGGCTTGCTGGGTGGGGGCAGAGGCCGGGATCTGAGTCTCTTCTGCCCACTCAGCTGTTTGTGTAAGGGCCCAGTGGCTTCTAGCTTGGTGGGCAGGGCCAGCAGGGCTGCTTCAGGGCCCCGGGATCAACGCCACCGGGGAATTCCAGGGGTAAGGACAGTCCCCACAGTCCAGCTATCCTCAAACGCTGGTACTGGGTCCCTTCTCCAGGCCAGGCGAGGACTGGCAGCTGGGCCCAGCTCTGCCTCTGCTGTGTGACCTTAGGTCAGCCTCTCACCCTCTCTGGGCCTGGACCTCCCAGCCTGTTCTGTGGATTGGCCCTTAGATGACCAGAGCACCTAGGGCAGCAGGGAACCAGCCGGCCCCCTCTGAAGGTTAGGGATGCCCAGGGCCAGAGAGGACCAGGGAGAACCAGTGCCCGCCCCCGCCTACAGCGCGTGGCCAACGACTCTCACCGGATCTGTGCCCTGTCCCCCGGCGCCGGGGGCGGCCTCTCCGGGAAGGTGTCATAATCCGGGGTCTCGGCTCCCAGCAGGGGCTCCTGCATGGCGGCCTCTCTGGTCAGGGCGCTCTGGTCCCGGCCACCTCGGGGAGGACGCGCTCGGCCGCAGTGCCCCGCCCGGCATCCGGCCGGCTCCGCCCAGCTCAGGACCAGCCGGCCGGACCCGCCCTTCGGCCGCGATTGGCTGCGGGGCGGGCCGCAAAGCTGGCTGCCGCCAATGGGAAGGCCGCTCGCTTGGCGATGCTCGGATGAAGGCTGCACCCCGGGCGCGGGCGGCGTCTGGGATGCTCGGTGCGCCCGCTGCCCCTCTGCCGCTGGGCCCGCTCAGCGCGTGGGAAAACCCAGCGCCGGAGGGAAAGCCTGGCGCTCCGGGGGTCTGTGCGCTCTGAGTCCGGCCGAGCCGCTTTGTAGGTGGGGAGACCCCACCCCCGAGGGAACCGTAGGCCGCGGCCCTGCGGGTGGGTCAGGGTGGAGCCCCCGCACGTGCGCTCCAGGCGGCCTCACTTGGCGTGCTGTCCGCCCCTCGCCGGCGCCCGTGGCTGTTCCAGTCCGGCTGCACCTGCGCCAGGGCGCGCACGACTCCCGGCTGCCGAGGAGGAAGCAGCTCGGAGGCCGGCCCTCTCGCCAGGGTCACACAGCTCCTGGACCGAAGGACAGAAACCGTGCCACTCCCTGCCAAGTCTGCCCTTCCAGCCACCGGCCTCCACGTGTCGCCGCCGCCCCTGGCTCCCTCGGAGCACTGTAGGCGAAGGCAGAGGGCGAGCGGTGGGGACGGTGGACGCCACTGGGGGCGAGACTCCTCCCTTCTTGTTTATTGTCCTGTGTGAGTCTGTAAGTCATTTGGGCTTGTTGAAAACGAACCAGATAATGGTGTAAAATAAATATGTAAAGAAGGAGCCGAAGATTCCCTGGCAGTCGGTTCTCCCAAACGGCCCATCCATACCTGCTGCTCTTGCTGGACTTTTCCGGCCGAACCACACCCATATCCTGCAGACAGAAAGACAGTCAGGCAGACAAAGAGAGCTCTGGGTTCTACGGTGCCACCAAAGAGCAGAGACACATTTCATCAGACCCCGCTGGTGGACATTTGTACAAATTCTGCATTTTAAATACAGTAAAATGTTTCACCAGCGGTGGTCATTCCGTTTCATGGTTAAACTTTGGTTGCTAAGCGAAGGTTGATAGTTTGGACCCACCCAGCAGCTCTGAGGGGGGAAAGTCCTGCTCAGTTCTTCCTGAAGATTCCATCCTCAGGACCCTCTGGGGAGATTCTGCTCCACCATGTGGGATATGATGACCGAGAACCAGCTGGAAGGATCCTCAGAGCAAGAACAATTGGGGAAATGCTGGCCAGCCTGCTCCTCCACGCAGGTATACCTGTGTGCTGATGCTGGGCCTCCCTGCAGGTCTACCTGTGTGCTGACGTCGGGCCTGTCTGCTCCTCCATGCAGGTCTACTTGTGCGCTGACACTAGGCCTCCCTGATCCCCCACGCAGGTCTACCTGTGTGCTGACGTCGGGCCTGTCTGCTCCTCCATGCAGGTCTACTTGTGCGCTGACACTAGGCCTCCCTGATCCCCCACGCAGGTCTACCTGTGTGCTGACGCTGCGTGGGCATGCGGCTGTGGACTGAACGTCCATGGGTGGACAAAGGAACAAGTAAGTCAGCCTTTGAGGAAGTGCAGCCTTAGGGACAAAGGTGGGGACACTTCATTTCACTTTCTATGGGCTTGTTGTCTGGAGGGGCTGGTCCTTGGAGAAGACTATCATGCTTAGAAGGGTGGAGGGTCAGAGGAGAGTAAAGCCCTTCCATGAGATGGATGGACACTAGTAACAAGGGTCCCCAGCACCCGAGTGAGTGAGTGTGAGGCGGAAGCAGGGTTTTGATCTTTTGCACGGGGGTGGGGGTGTTAGTATGAGTCAGAGTGGACTTGATGGTACCTGACAGTGAAGGTGGGCTCTGGCGGCTTACTGCTAAGAAGCTGCACTGCAGTGCCAAGGGCACCTGGTTCACGTCCACCAGCTGCTCCGCAGGAGGATAGGCGATTTCTTCCTGTGCAATTTGTGCCTCTGAAAACCCACTGAAGGGTCCGCTCCAACTCAACAGCACACAACAACAATAAAAGCGGCCACACGAGCTGTCCCCCTTGCTTCAAGACACAGGCTTCCGTGCATCCAGCAAATGGACAGTCCCTAACGATGTTTAACCTCAAAGTCACTGCGCTCGAGACGGTTCTGAGTCAGCAGAAGACCATCAAGTTTCTGAGGCAGCAGATTTTCACAGGAGACTCCCCGTCTCTTCCCCCGGGACCTGGCGGTCGAAACCACTGAAGTCTTGGTCAGCGGCCGCAGCCCACTGTGCCCCGTCCACCCTGCATCTGTGGCAGTGCTGGGCACACAGAGGGTCGCAGCAGCCCCAGACGACCCCCCTCCTTTGCCCATCACCCCTGCCACTCAAGGAGCTTCAGGTCTGGGCAGTGGAAGTGGGGTCCCTGGTGATTCAGTGTGACCTGAGAGTCGGTTTCTCTCTCTGCACTGAATACACTCTAAGAATGGGGTTGTGAGAGACAGCTTCTTGGGGCTCCTCATGTCCTGTCACCTCACTTTCTGGCCCCCCCCAATGGAGGCCTTAGGTTGGTGGGTGTGTACGGAAAAGGCCGGAGCAGAGTCCTTCAGAGGCGTCTGTCCTGGAGGCTAGTGAGGCTGGGTCCCTCCACACAGGCTTGTCCCAGGACCAGAACCAGGAACCCGTGGCTGAGGAGCTCATGGAGTTGGGGAGGGGGAGGGCTACCCAGCCGACCTGGGGCTCCTGTGGGGGAGGGTCTTGGACCGGGACCAGGTGGGTCCATGCGCTGGGCCTGGTCTGTAGACTACTAACAAGTGTCGATTGGTCATCACTGATCTGCCCCTGCAGTCCGGAACCTGGGCACGAGCCCCATTTGCCCAGGGCCCAGGTGCCTGTGACCACCTCTATCCCTGGAACTTTCTGTGTTGTCTCCCGCTAAGTCTCATTGGTTTAATCTGTAAGATTGGACACACTCTGGAGCCTCCCAGAGGCCTCTGGGCCGATAGAAGCCGCTTCTGCACCTGACCTGTGTCCCTTCCAACGAGTTTGACTACTTCTGCTTTCTGAGTCCACAAACCGGCCCGATTACATTCCACGACCCCCCCAAGGGAAGGCAAAGGTCTAAGGAGCCTCACCGTGGGGCTGACCCTAACTTTCCAGAGCCAGTACCTGCGTGGGAAATACCGGGATGGGAAGGTGAGGAGGTGATGGGGAGTGTCCCAGGGCTGTTGGCCCCCATTTTATAGAAGAAGAAACTGAGGCTCCTGGTTACCACGTGGGGTGCCTCTGGTACCTCCTGGCCCCCAGTTCTGGTCTGTGCCCACAGCTGAGCGGGGAACAGGGACAGGCAGGCAGCGAGCATATGGGAACATGAATCCAACCCAAAGGTGTAGGATTCCCACCCTCACCCCTCCTTCCACAGATGGGCCGGCCTGGGCACCCAGAGGACAAGGTCTCTGGCACCCAGCTGTCCGGCATCCCTGGTGTGCCCCGTGACGACGCTGCCCCAGCCCCTGTCCCTGCCCCTGCGGACTCAGACCTGGTGCCCTCTGTGAGCCTGGCAGCGGCCCTCACCCTGCTGTTCCTCCTGCTCTCGGCCTGGTTTTGGGGAGATGGACACCCCTGAGGTCCTGCCAGTGTGGCCTTGGGTCTGGGTGGTCAGGGACCTCACAGGTGCCTGTCACCACCAGGTGGCAGCCAAGACCAAAGGATCTTGCCTCCCTGGGGTCTGGGCTGGGTGCTGGGAGGAGTTGGCACAGCAGGAATGGTGGACCCTGTGAGCAGCTCAGTCATGGCCACTAGGTAGGTGCCTCCTGCCCTGGGGGCTCCCAGGTCCTGCTCAAGGATGGACTTCTGCTGAGAGATACCAGCCTCCCCGTGGGCACTCGACTTGCTGTAAATTTGTGTGGGAGCCTGGCTGGTCCTGGGACTGGACCAAGAGCCTATGGGCAGCCTCCAATAGGTCCCTTCCCAAGGGACCACAGGGCCTGGGGATGTGGAACCCTATTCAGATGGGGACCTCATTTCCTATCTTTGCACAGTCATTCTGTGTTCTGCAGATAAATCTGGGCGGCCCCTGCTATTTGTGGAATAAATCAGAGAAAGCTGAGGCTTCCAGGTCCACATCTGTCCGTGCTGGGCCATGTGACTGCGGACAGTCTGCTCCACTCCAGGCCTCGGCTCTCAGCTCATCAGAGGGAATGCTAGTACTTCCCTGTGGGCTTGTCAGGAGGGCCAGCGGAAGGGTAGGGGCCGTGTGGCCACCTCTGCGCAGACACTCTCTGCGTCTGACCCTGCCCCCACTGGCCACTCGCACTGCCCCCAAGTTCTGGCTCAGCAATTCCACCCGGTGAAGTGCAGCCTGGGGCCAGCTGTTGTCGTTGTGATGTACCATCAACTCGCCTGCGACTCACAGTGACCCTACGTACAGCAGCTCTGAAGCTGTCCCATCCTGAGCTGGTCTCACTGCCTCTGACACACCTACCCCCATTGCCCCATTTACTCTACCAATCCATCTCATCTGGGGTTTTCCTCTCCTCGCTGTCCCTCCACCCTTCCAAGCACGATGTCCTTCTCCAAGGTCCAAAATATGTGAGATGGAGCTTCAAAATCCTAGCCTCCAAGGAGAAATCTGGTTTCACCCTCTCCAAGACAGACGAAGTTGTTCTCTTGGCGGTTCATGGTATGTTCAAGACTCTTCTCCAGCACCACAACTCAAAGGCATCATTAGTTTATTTGTTTTAATGTGGACATCTTCCTCCAGAGGAGGGTCATACCAACCTTACAGTAAGCAGAGGAAGGTCGTTGCCAGTGGGCGACCTGAGCACCACTGTCCCCACTGTGGCCGTGGCGGGAGGAAACCCAGGCGAGGAGGCTGGGGAGGCTGCGCTGATCTTGGCTGCCACCCGGCGGCTACACACAGGATTGCACCATCTGCTTTGTGACACCTTTGTGTGTGTGTGTTTTAGAAATGGAACATT